CTGTGTCAGGGAAATCTGAAAATTCTGTATATCTGTTCTGTTCTGATGCTATAAGCACAAAGGGAGACATAAGCGACCAAAATTCGTCGAAATTCTGTTAGTGTCAGGGAAGGGAGGCATAAGGGGCCAAAATTCGTCGAGATTCTGTCAGGGTTAGGGATATGTGATATGTGATATCTGAAATGTGATTTTATATGATTTGAATTCTGATTTGTACAATCCAATCTGTTCTGTGATTTGAAAGCTTTATAAGTTTTATAAGATCTGTTCTGCACTCTGATTTGAATTCATGTATCTGTGATTTGATTTCTATTGACCAAGTATCTGTTCTGTCTGTTATACGATTTCTATACGGTTATTTGAATAACTGTTTATGATGTGTTTTCTGATGTGAATTTTTGGAGATTTTGGTGGGTGAGTGTAGTCTTGCTGAGCTGTTAGCTCATCCTTATTTTTTGCGTGGTTTTCAGGTTCTGGGAAAGGGAAGGAAGTCTTGGACTAGCAGTTCTATGTCTGATCAGTGATTAGGTATTTTGTACTTTTGATTTTTGTATAGTCATGCCTTTTATGTTCTGTTCTTTCTGTCTGTAGCCATGCACCGTATTGTACATGATTATTTTGATGAAAGAAAGAAGAAAATAGTGGATGCATTTCTATATATGTATTTGAAGTTTATAGCAAATCTGTGTTTCTGTTTGTTTGAATATTTGGAAGAAAGTTCTGAAGCAAATTCCAAAACTAGATCCTGAATTTTCAACATTTGTCGCGGCCCAATGCGAAGGGATTCGTTCCGGTCAGGTTGGGTCGTGACAGTAATAATGGTGCAGAAGTATTTAACGGCCAATACGAAGGTACTTCTAGTAATTTGTCCATCCTTAAAGAATTTTGAAGTGAAACCATCAAGCATATGGGTTTTGTTAGAACCAATGCTAGAAAAATCCTCCTTTATATCTTTATCAGTTTAGAGAGAGAGAGAGAGAGAGAGAGAGAGAGAGAGATCATAATATGGGGAGAATTATAGTCTTAGATATTCTTATCATTGAGAAGTAAAGTGAAGTTAGAGATGTTGTAATTTTCTTATGAGAGGTGAGAGGATGAGAGTTTCATTTGAGTTCTTTAACATAATTATGATTTCCATGATATTTGATTCTATTATAAAGAGCTTTAATTAATCATCTTCCCCTTGTGAGATCCAAAAGCATTTGGCTCTATGTTTAATCTAAATGACTCACAAGTAGTGGCCTCAATATAAATATTTTAGGGCTTCAACAGCCTCCTTGAGAAGGGAGGTGTTTAGGGGTTATCTTTCCAACAATTGATTAATGCTTGTTTAGCCTTTATGTTTGTGATAGTGTTAAAGATATAAGCAAAGGTGATCCACTTATTAGCTATGAGGTGGGACTTGACATTTTGGATTTTATTGCAATGAGCAAAAAGAGGGTCACCCCTAACATGAGTGCTTTAGAATACCTCAATGACCTATAAGAAATTACAATATTGACTTCAACAGTTCTTGTGCATAGTAGTAGAGTTTTCCAATTTGAGGTGAATGGGGGAGTGGTTAGATGAGAAACTTGAAATAAGACAGTGAAAGAAGATTTAACCAGTGAGCACTATCAAACAAATATTTGAGTGGGTTGTTTAAATGATTATTATACCAACTATAGGGGAAGCCAAATATTGGGGAGCTCCATCAGGTTACAATAGAAAATACAAGTATTAAAATAAACAAGTTTTTAGGGGAGAGGTATGTTTCCATCTACTTTTTCTTCAATAGATCTTATGAAGTCAAAATCTTTAAAAACATTCCAAGGCTCATTAACTAAACCATCAATCATAGTAATTTTACCCCATCAATATTACCTCTTAGTGGCACCATTATAGCATAAATAACAATGATCAAGGTAGAGGAAGAGGAAGAAATAACTAGTCGTTTATGAATGAATAGAGAATGTTTTTAAAGCAAAAAAAAAAAAAAAAACTTTAGTGGCATCGAATTTGATCTAAATTCTACCATGTTCTACAAGTTGAAAATTGTGTTGTTGTTTTCTTCTTGGTGTAAATGAAAATTTGTATGTTGATTAAGTGATAAGTCAATGAGGAGGTAGCCGACTTAGTTTCAAAGGGTATGTAAAATCAATATTGAGCTCTCTGATGAGACTTCTACTGTCATTGATCCTAACTTCATCATTGAATCATCTAAAATTCCAAGAGAGGATATTTGGGAGAAAAATGGAAATATGAGTTATTATGTGGAGGTCCTTCCTTGGTTCTAGCCTTTCATTGTTTGCTGGTGGATGGAATATTTGCTTGAGGAAATTGTAAGGAGGCAAAATTAATCAAAGATTTTTGTAGGAATTTGAGATTAGAGCAACAGTTGATGAAGACAAAAGAGCAGTAAAGGCCACCAAACATTCCCTAGAACATGCTACCACCGACCATGAAGTGCAAAGCATGAGAACATTTAATGGTTGAGGGACCTTATTGGAAGAGATTTATGGTGTAGAGTTAGGATAACTTAAAATTTCAACAGTCTCAACATTAAGAGATTCAACGGAGATTGATTTAGAGCTTTGAGTTGGGTTGAAGAAAATAAGGATATTTAGTTCAAGTGGTAGGCCCTATAGGTTTTTCAAAGGCAATAAGAGTGAAACAACTCTAAAGGAATTACCCCTAGGGATAGATCCTCTAGTTTGGCTGCAAATTCAAAAGATCTGAATATATGAAGAGGTATATTGGGTAGATTTGGGATAGATTACATATTTGTAGGAGAAGGTGTCACAAACCTTTTAGGGTGAAGGTTTTCACTCATAAATAATAGACTGAATAATATCCTGACCCTTAACAATGATTGTAATGCAATAGAGGTTGTGGAAATCTACACACTAACTCAAGAAAATGTCAATCTCCGTTTTTTAGCGGTTAGGGGGTCTACACTAAGAGGAACACCAATTTTGCTAATTGTTTTAGATATTTTCATTTTAGACCAACAATGTAAGGGCAGTTTAACAATTTAATCGAAATCATAATATCTTTAAACTCATCATTTGCTAGAGTTAAATTTGATTTTTACCACATAAATGAAAGACCTTGTATTTATAAACCAAGGACCACCATATTTCACTATTTCATAATCTTCATGCAAAAGTTAAATAAGAAAAAAGCTCCTTTGTGAGAGAGAAGCTCAAATGTATCTTTGAGTTTTCACATTCTATTAACTATTATAGTGAGACTGTCATAGAAGGGTCATTTACCTATTACACAGACCACAAAAGGCATTTTCCACATTTAGCACCTTTCTCTAATCCTTCATCAGAGAAGATGACCTTGTCCTCCAGACATGAAATGAGGTTTAGAGAGAAGGTAGAAGCATTTGGAATTCGTGATATGAGAAGACCTTTCAAGTTTATTGTGAAAGAGGAAACCTATGGTAAACTTGGTCAAAATCCCAAAATCGAATGTGATGCTGATTGAGTGGATAGAACTCCGACAAATCTATAGGGTGGAAGAGCTCGATGGAGGGTGGGACTCGATAGAGAGTACTCCAACGAGAACTAAGTGGATGATGTCCTATTATCATGGGTAGTGGTAAGAAAATGGTGAGAAAAAACAAAAACACCCAAAAATGAAACCCTAACCCTAATGAAGCCAAATAAACATAGAAAGTCAATTTTGGAGGTTATTATTTTATTAAAATAAAATTTATTTTGATAGAATAAAATAATATTTTTTAAAAAATTTAAATTCCAAATATCTAAAATATATTTTTAGCTATTAATCCATTTTTTATCTTGGGTTCCTTCGCCGTTCTCATGGAAGCCGTAGCTAATCTCGGCTACTAAGGAAGGAATGAAGGAATGATGAAAAATCGAAAGCTAAATTTCTCCGTTCAGATCCAACATGCTGTCGAGATGACTTGGAGGCCTGCCTCACTGGTTCTGAAGCGAGAAGTATCCACTTCGCATCTTCTCTTTGAGAGATCAAAACAAACAGGTGATGTGCGTCTTTTAGCCCTCTTGAACAAACGATTTTATGGTTTTTCGATTTTGGTTTCCGTTAAAAGGGAGAATCTTTCTTGCCGCCAGGTTTTGTTCGACCTTTTACTTGTCGCGTGTGTTAAAAAATGCTCAGTTAGTTATTGGGATTGAGGAAAATGTAGCTGCTTTCCAAGAAATGTTATTGATTTATCAATTGCTTCTTTTATTGATTAATCTTTTACCGAATGTGGTAGAAAATTTCTTTTTTTTTTTTAAATGAAACCTTCCCTTGTCTTCATCTGATTCTGTAGAAACTAACAGAAAATGAATTTAGGACTGGTGTTGGGACTACAAATGTTGAGTTCAACTGTAAAACTGGGGCGGGCTTCTTTTGAATCTTTGATCGCTGATAGCTATTCCACCAATCTTTTGAACACAATCAAATTATGTGCGAGCTTCTGATGCTTTTGTTTCTATTTTGTTTTACAGAGAATGAAATTGTTCAGATGTTCAAACTTCCAAATCTTAGAGATGCAAGTGCATCTTCATCAACAAACCCAGGGGGATTCAGGAACTCAAGCTCTCGAGTACTGGATGAGAGATTCCTGAGAATATTGAAGATATTTAAGTGGGGGCCAGATGCAGAGAAGGCCTTGGAGGTACTGATGCTGAAAGTTGATCATCGTTTGGTTCGCGAGGTTTTGAAAACAGATGTTGAGATTGGTGTGAAGATACAGTTCTTCAAATGGGCAGGCAAAAGGAAAAAATTTGATCATGATTCTTCCACCTTCATGGCTATGATTCATTGCCTCGAGCAAGAGGGATTGGTAGGGGAGATGTGGAGAACAATCCAAGACATGGTCAGAAGCAATTGCATCATCATCCCTTCAGTGCTATCTGAAGTCATCAAGATTCTTGGAAAAGCAAAAATGGTGAACAAGGCTTGTTCCATCTTTTACCAGATCAAGGCTCGAAAATGTCAGCCAACTGCAACTGTTTACAACACCATGATCTTAATGCTAATGCAGGAGGGACATCATGAGAAGGTGCATGAGCTTTACAATGAAATGTGCAATGATGGAACCTGTTTCCCCGATTCTGTTACTTACAGTGCACTCATTTCCACTTTCTGCAAGTTGCGGCGAGACGATTCCGCGATCAGATTGTTTGAGGAGATGAAAGAGAACAGGCTGCAACCAATGCCAAAGATTTATACCACTTTAATAGCCATGTTTTTCAATTCAAATAATGCTGACAAAGCTCTTGGTTTGTTTCGTGAAATGAAACAGCATTGCTGTAAACCAAATGTCTTCACCTATACTGAATTGATTAAAGGCCTTGGCAAAATCGGAAGAATTGAAGATGCTTTTCATTATTTTCTTGAGATGCAGAAAGAAGGTTGCAAGCCAGATACAGTGCTCATGAATAATCTTCTAAACATTCTAAGCAAGGCTGGGCGTTTAGATGATGTGCTGAAGCTGTTTGAGCAAATGGAGTCCCTTCATTGCGTTCCAAATGTGGTTACATACAATACAGTTATGAAAACACTTTTTGAGTCAAAATCTCGAGCATCGGAGGTTGTGGCTTGGTTCGAGAAAATGAAGGAGCGAGGGATCACTCCTAGTTCCTTCACTTATTCCATTCTAATAGATGGTTTTTGCAAAAGCAATCGAGTAGAGAAGGCATTGATTCTTCTTGAGGAAATGGATGAGAAAGGCTTTCCTCCATGCCCAGCTGCATATTGCAGTCTAATTGATGCTCTTGGTAAAGCTAGAAGGTATGAGGCTGCTTGTGAGTTGTTCCAGGAACTAAAAGAAAATTGTGGTTCTTCCTCTTCCCGTGTATATGCAGTTATGATCAAGCATTTTGGGAGATGTGGGCGCCTAAAGGACGCCATAGATCTTTTTGAGGAAATGAAGAAACTTGGCTGTACTCCAGATATCTTTGCTTATAATGCTCTTATGTCTGGAATGGTAAGGTCTGGCATGGTAGATGAAGCCCAGTCCTTGTTCAGGACAATGCAAGAACAAGGCTGTAAGCCAGATATAAATTCTCACAATATCATATTGAATGGTCTGGCAAAGGTTGGTGGCCCAAAAATGGCAATGGAGATGCTTTTGAATATGAAGCAGTCGAAGAACAAACCAGATGCTGTGTCATACAATACAGTTCTTGGATCTCTTAGTCATGCAGGAATGTTTGAGGAGGCAGCTAGGGTGATGAAAGAGATGAGTGCAATGGGATTTGAGTATGATCTTATTACTTACTCTTCAATACTTGAGGCCGTCGGAAAAATCGACGATGAACCCGCGGATTCTGTTCGTTGAGAGCCTGGTTTGAATGAACTTTTCTCGAATTTCAGAAGAATTTGAACTCCTTAACACTTTTTTCATTCTAATCATGCTAGGAAAAGTTAGCGCATAGTCATACATTATAACTGTAGTAATCTGCCAGCGTTTGTTAGGTTTTGTTTGGGACTGGCTTTATTATTGCTTCTTAAAACAGTTTTTTAGAATAAAAATTAAAGTTTTTGTTTTTGAAAGCTACTTTAAGAAGCAGTAAAAAAACTGTCACAAACGAAGCCTTAATTTACTGTTGTTCACTCTAACTTGTAAGTTTTCATTGTACATATTTTTTGCCCTTATTACTTGTTCATATGGCTTTGATTAGTGAAGCATATTGTGATGTTTTGTTGGACTCTCCATCCCTTCTGTTTCATTGTCACGAAAATACCAGGTGAATGATTTCACTAATCCATTGCGCTACCATGCGTTTGGAAGCTTTCTATTGTTTAGCAATGCAGTAAAACTGAGAGGACAACATCTGGCACAGGTCCAGTTCAACTTTTGTGATGTGGTGATCATTGGAAAAATCAGACATGCTTGAAGGTAATTCCCATTCTAAGGAACAAAGATAAGAATTAAGCTTCAAAAAACTTCAAAGAGAATATATTTTCATCAATATCCTCCTCTTACAATGGCATGTATATTTATAGGATAAAAGGAATATTCTAGAAACTAGTGGTAACAAACCTATAACAAACTAAGATAAACTAATCCTAAGGAGTATATAACTATAGATGTTCCTACATCATTCTCCCATTGCATCAAAAGAGCTCGATATATGTTTTCTAGATAAATCCTTAGGAATAATTTATCCTTTGTTAATATATCGAGTTTTTTTTTACGTTAGAGGAGTATGATGTGGAGCATCATTAGCTAAATAAATCTTTAGAAATAGTTTATCCTTTGTTAGCTTAGGTGTATGTTTTCTAGAGTCTTCTATTATATTTATATATACAAGATATTTTAAGAAAGGAGGCATCAATGATGAATATTTTATGAATTGAAGCCTTTGAAGCTTTGAGCTTGGTTTGTCCTCTTGTTCTTAGAAATCCTTCAAGCATCATCTTCTTTCAACGATCCAACGATTGTCTCCCCACATCATTTTTCCAGTTATGGTATTCATAGATTTGGCCAACTGCCTTCAACCACGACTTAGGCTTCATTTGGGATGTTTTTCATACTGCTTCCTAAAGTAACTTTTTAATACAAAAATTGAAATGTTTGTACAAGATAGCTGCTTCAAGAAGCAGTAAAAAAATGGTTCCAAATGAAGCCTTTGAATGTATGTCCTTTTCCTTTGAGGCACCTTCCAATCTTTTTCATACTCTCATTCCACTCTGCCAGTTTACACGATGGTATGGTTTGAGTTGGGATGCTAAGATAGCAAATCTGAAAGGCATGTGATTGAAGAACATGCAATGAGTTGCCTGACAATATTGAAAGCAAATGTGGTGCGCAGAGAGCTTTTGAGAGTTTGAAAGAACGATACCATGTCATACTTTTTGGGTTAATAGTAGGAAATTGTTGAGAAGTAAATCACGCAACAAACACAAACAAGAAAAAGAAAGTAGCGAAAAAAAAAAATCCAACATGATTTAACGTGAAAAAACTTGGAATTGGAAAAAAAATTACGGAGCCACACCATACAAAAATATACAGTATTAAAATTAGGAGATTGTACATATCTCCGTCTCACTCTCTCACTTTTGGCTTGTCTCTTTTCACTTTACACTTCATTCTCCACTCTGAACTAACAAGCAGACACGTATACATCAAGGACGCAACCCTTCAATTTAAGCATGCAAAATAAGAAATAAAATATTACAGAGTCCCACAATACCAAGGCACTCTGAACCACAAGGAGAGGGCATACTGCCCTCTAATGAGCTCCTAGTCAATCTTAACCGATAAAATTAAGTTTGGGTCAACAATGCAACCCAATTGATGAACATGATCAAACACCGCAAGAAACTAACATTATTTTAGAGATGTTCATAAGCTAAAATGTAATATCCATAATGGTGATATCCAGTTACAAAAATTTTGTCGCCTGGAGTCGTGAAGGAGACGAATACTCGAAAATGAGGAGTCGAACTAGCTGTTTTGGTTCGGATGCTTGAAGTCACGAGGAAGACGAAGGGGGGTTGTTCTCATTCAATCGTTTAGAGTTGCAGGAGATGAAAGGTGGTTCTGTTCCCTTATAATCACGCAGGTCCACAAAAGGAGAGGCCATGCGTGATAAGCCAAGCGATTTGAGCATCTTGCGGGACTATGGAAGCAAGTGAAGAAAAGACGAGCGCGGCTGCTCACCTACTTGCATCGATTGGGAGAAATTGAGGATGAGAAAGAAAGGTACGGTCTTATTGAACTAAAATTTATATTTTATATTTAAAATATATAGTTTATTTTATTTTAGAATTAAAATCTATTAAAAATTGTAATTAGAAATGATAAATTTTAAATATTGTGTGATCTGGTTCCTATAGTTTTTTCGACACTGTTGTTCCCTAAAATCTGAGTCCTTTTGCATTTGCTCTCTCTCTCTAAGTATTTCATGCTAAATGATGCTCATAGATTTCTTAATTTCTAATGTAAAAAGGTTCTAAATTTTGTATTTTCTTACTATAATTCATGATAGAATGCTGGTGCTTGAATTGAATTTGTTATTTTCAGGATGTGTTATTTTTTTCCTTTAGGTTGTTGCACACATGATGCCTGATCTACCAAATGTTGGCATTGAGAGAGATTTAGAAAGTTTCCGTGAATTCTTTGAGAGCCCAGCTTTTAGGGCAGATGGTCTCAAAATTTACCCAACACTCGTAATTCGTGGTACTGGTCTTTATGAACTTTGGAAAACTGGCAGGTACTGTAATTTTATACTATTTATCAGGTTATTGCATTTAGGATATTGCTGCAAATGAGCTTGTTTGCTGATCAAGGACTGGGCAGTTGAGTGTCTAAATTTATTTATATAATTGCATATCATTCCTTGCCAATTCAGAAATTTTACTTGTTACAGGTATCGGAATTACCCACCAGAGCTTCTTGTGGATGTAATTGCAAGGATTTTGGCCATGGTACCACCATGGACCCGCGTCTACAGAGTTCAAAGAGATATTCCCATGCCATTAGTTACTTCTGGAGTTGAGAAGGGAAACCTCCGTGAACTTGCTTTGGCTCGAATGGAAGATTTGGGCTTAAAATGTCGTGATGTTAGAACACGTGAAGCTGGAATTCAGGTTCCTTGTTGTAATCAATTACTTTCAGTTTTCATAAACTGTTTATTTTTTTAAACTTTTTTTTTTTTTTTGGAAAATTCGAGTGTCACTCATAGCAATAGAAACTTAAAACATCACCAATTATAGAGTAATAAACAAATACAACAACAATTATGATATACACAAGTGTTATCAAAGCAATAATAAGAAAAGAAAAATAACAATGGAAGCAAATGGGGCTTAGAGTAAGAGTATAAAGGTTAAATCATCTATGGTATCATCCTAGTACAATAGGATCAAGATGTAAGAAATTAAGTATCAAGTTGTGCCAAGATGAGACACAATCATTCCCAATATTGTCACGGCTGTAAAAAATTTTAAGCAGCAGAGATATCTGTGTTGCATTTCAAATTGTTCTTAAATTTTATCTGATAAAAAAATATTAACATCATCATCCATAAAAGTAAAATGTGTGTCTAAAGATCTACAATGTTATTACATTACTAATGTGAAAATGTATCAAATGGAAGTGCAAAGTGCAAAGACCAATTTTCATATCCAAAAATTATGTATATAAGTCACAATGAATCAACAAATAAATAAACCTCCAAGTAGCACCCTCAAGCAGTAGAAAGTATTCCCTAGAAAATTATTGCATAGCATGGCCTCAAACATATAGAATAAGCAAGGAAAATTTCACTTAGAAAAATATTCTCAATGAAAAAAATGTAAAATTGTTGAAAACATAGAGAGGGCATAAAGCTTTAATTTCCCACTTCATAGTAAAAAGAGAATAAAAAATCCCAAATAACTAATCATTGCCACCAAACTCTTTGAAAGAGTCATGTATATTGTAGGAGCATAGCATTATATAACAACAGTAACAATGACTTCACCAAGGAAGTTTTATAACATCTCACAATCCAGCAACCGAGAAGTAGAAAAAAAAATTTATAAAAGCTTCATAGAGAGTTTACAAAAAGGAGAATCCCTTATACAAAAGTGATCAATAGTAAAGTAAAAAAATATAGCATGTCTCAAGAGAAATAAAGCAAAAAAAAAGGCTATGTGGTATGTCTCTTTTAAATTTTCATATTCAACTTCTCATTCGAACAACAAAGTAGATTTTATGAACTAAACAATCAACCTCATAGATTTTATCTTGAAAAATCCTTCAATTTCTTTCATTCCATAGAGGATGGGCAATAATATGTATTTAGCAATGAGATAAAAATTTCTAATGATCTTACATAATATATCATCTTTATACATTAGTGTTTGATTGGTGCGGTAGCCCAAGTGAAAGACAGAGCTTTGAGGTATGCACTTTTTAAAGGTTTTGAATGAGTATAAACATTCAAAGAATAAGTGATTATGAGATTCTATATAATTATTTTAAACTGCACAAGTCTTCCCCACATTTATGCGTCAATTCAAAAGTACATCTTTGGTTATAAATCCACCAATTAAAATTTCCCAAAGAGGCGTAACATATTTAATGGAACACTCTTTAAACCAAATAAATTTCTCAAGACACTTTTGGCTCAGCATGATATTACGGGTTATAAGTGGATTTATAAGAGAACATTTTGATCCCAACCAAGCACCTAGAGATAGAGGAGAGTATCTCAACATAGGCAATTTGGAAAATACAATCATTGTACATATGGTAATTAGAGGAAGGAAAGCTCCATTTGTCATTAATAATGAAATTATTTATGTTAGCATAATAATTACAGTTAAATAAAGTGTTCACCAAATTTTTATTTTTTTTAAAAAATAGAGTTTTACCATGGTTCAAAGGTCATGAAAGGATAGAAGAGGATCATTGTTGTCAACATTAAGAGAGAGCCAAGAGTAAGTTTTATTAATTATGTCACCCAAAGATTTCCAAAATTTTATAGCATTATTTGTGTGCTTGATCCAAAGAGATGGGTAATAATTGAAGAGCTAAGAAGAACGATAGAAAGTTGAGTTGAGAAGTCTCCATATGAGTTTGCATTTACTTAGAATATAGAAGGAGTCCATATTAAGGAGACCTAAATCACCCTTATCAATAGGTTTAGTGGTGGTGTTCACAGAGATAAGTTTGTGTTTCTAGTACTCACTTGTATTATTAAGGAAACTACTAAGATTAGTAATGTTCTTTATGTCAACTTTGCGAATAATAGTAAAGTAGAGCCATTAGTGTAAATAGTTCCAATGAAAGAATGCAGTTTTTTCTTCTACAAAGTATGAAGTTTATCTACAATTTTAGAACAATCATTAGCTTTTAATTTGATGATAGAAATGTTGAGACCAAAAAAGCATATGGGAAGTTTTTTATAGTGAAGTCAAGAATTAAGTATATATTATCACTAGTAGCTATAAACAACTAAGGAAAAATAGATCCTTGATTTATTAAAATTGATATCATTGCCAAAGACCCCTTTTGAAAGTCTCTAGGATGTATTATAAGCAATGAACATTTCTTTCATAAGCCAATCAAAAAACAAATAAATCATCAACATGAATCAAATAAGAAATAACGGAGCTTTTTTTCCAATGATACTTTTAAAAGAGATGTTATCATTATGCATCTCCATGAGTCTAGATAAACCATCCATAATAAAGGGGAAAAGGAAAAGAGCTTATGGACGCCCTTGGTGAAGCCTTGTAAATGAGAGAAAATAGCCTTTTAATTTCTCGTTATAATTACATAAAAATAAATATTAGAAGTTCATGCCATAATACATTTGATGAAGATTTGGGTAAAGCAAAGTTGCAAATTTCTCAAATAGAAGAAATTTTTATTGAATTTATCAAATGATTTTCTGATATCCATTTTGGCACAAAAATATTTTGGAGCTCCTAGAGCATTAAAATCATGGATAAGCTCACTAGCAAGGATAATATTATTAGTAATATATCTATGTTCAATGAATGCAAATTGGGCTCGGTGGATGAGTTTAGGACGAATAGATTTGAAACATTTGGAATGCGTGATATGAGAAGACCTTTCAAGTTTATTGTGGAAGAGGAAACCTATGGTAAACTTGGTCGAAATCCCAAAATCGAATGTGATGCTGATTGAGCGGATATAACTCAGACAAGTCTATAGGGTGGAAGAGCTCGATACAGGGTGGGACTTGATGGAGAGTACTCCAACGAGAACTAAGTGGATGATGCCCGATTATCATGGACGATGGTAAGAAAATGATGAGAGAAAATAAAAACACCTAAAAATGAAATCCTAACCCTAATGAAGTCAAAAAAGACTTAGAAAGTCAATTTTGGATGTTAGTAAAAACTTATTTTGGTAGAAGAATTTTTTTTAAAAATTTTAAATACCAAATATCTAAAATATATTTTTAGCTCTTAATCCAATTTTTATCTTGGGGCCGTTTGGCTGGATTTCGCCCAAATCCGGCCTTAAATCCGCCTAAATCCGCATACCAAACAGCCCCTTAGCTTCGCCGTTCTCATGGAAGCCGTAGCTCATCTCGGCTCCTAAGGAGTGAATGAATGATGAGGAATCGAAAGCTAAATTTCTTCGTTCAAATCCAACATGCTGCCGAGATGACTTGGAGGCCTGCCTTACTGGTTCTGAAGCGAGAAGTATCCACTTCGCATCTTCTCTCCGAGAGATTAAAACAAACAGGTGATGTGCGTCTTTTAGCCCTCTTGAACAAACGATTTTTTGGTTTTTCGTTTTTGGATTCCGTTAAAAGGAAGAATCTTTCTTGCCTCCAGGTTTTGTTCGACCTTTTACTTGTCGCTTGTTGTAAAACAATGCTCAGTTCTGATTGGGATTCAGAAAAATGTAGCTGCTTTCCAAGAAAATGTTCTTGATTTATCAATTGCTTCTTTTATTGATTAATCTTTTACCGAATGTGGCAGAAAATATATATATTTTTTTTTAAATGAAACCTTCCCTTGTCTTCATCTGATTCTGTAGAAACTAACAGAAAAAGAATTTAGGACTGGTGTTGGGACTGCAAATGTTGAGTTCAATTGTAAACCTGGGGCGGGCTTCTTTTGAATCTTTGATCCCTGATAGCTATTCCGCCAATCTTTTGAACACAATCAAATTATGTGCGAGCTTCTGATGCTTTTGATTCAATTTTGTTTTACAGAGAATGAAATTGTTCAGATGTTCAGACTTCCAAATCTTAGAGATGCAAGTGCATCTTCATCAACAAACCCAGGGGGATTCAGGAACTCAAGTTCTCGAGTACTGGATGAGAGATTCCTGAGAATATTGAAGATATTTAAGTGGGGGCCAGATGCAGAGAAGGCCTTGGAGGTACTGATGCTGAAAGTTGATCATCGTTTAGTTCGCGAGGTTCTGAAAACAGATATTGAGATTGGTGTGAAGATACAGTTCTTCAAATGGGCAGGCAAAAGGAAAAAATTTGATCATGATTCTTCCACCTTCATGGCTATGATTCATTGCCTCGAGCAAGAGGGATTGGTAGGGGAGATGTGGAGAACAATCCAAGACATGGTCAGAAGCAATTGCATCATTTTCCCTACAGTGCTATCGGAACTCATCAAGATTCTTGGAAAAGCAAAAATGGTGAACAAGGCTTGTTCCATCTTTTATCAGATCAAGGCTCGAAAATGTCAGCCAACTGCAACTGTTTACAACACCATGATCATAATGCTTATGCAGGAAGGACACCATGAGAAGGTGCATGAGCTTTACAATGAAATGTGCAATGATGGAACCTGTTTCCCCGATTCTGTTACTTACAGTGCACTCATTTCCACTTTCTGCAAGTTGCGGCGAGACGATTCTGCAATCAGGTTGTTTGAGGAGATGAAAGAGAACAGGCTGCAACCAATGCCAAAGATTTATACCACTTTAATAGCCATGTTTTTCAATTCAAATAATGCTGACAAAGCTCTTGGTTTGTTTCGTGAAATGAAACAGCATTGCTGTAAACCAAATGTCTTCACCTATACTGAATTGATTAAAGGCCTTGGCAAAATCGGAAGAATTGAAGATGCTTTTCATTATTTTCTTGAGATGCAGAAAGAAGGTTGCAAGCCAGATACAGTGCTCATGAATAATCTTCTAAACATTCTAAGCAAGGCTGGGCGTTTAGATGATGTGCTGAAGCTGTTTGAGCAAATGGAGTCCCTTCATTGCGTTCCAAATGTGGTTACATACAATACAGTTATGAAAACACTTTTTGAGTCAAAATCTCGAGCATCGGAGGTTGTGGCTTGGTTCGAGAAAATGAAGGAGCGAGGGATCACTCCTAGTTCCTTCACTTATTCCATTCTAATAGATGGTTTTTGCAAAAGCAATCGAGTAGAGAAGGCATTGATTCTTCTTGAAGAAATGGATGAGAAAGGCTTTCCTCCATGCCCAGCTGCATATTGCAGTCTAATTGATGCTCTTGGTAAAGCTAGAAGGTATGAGGCTGCTTGTGAGTTGTTCCAGGAACTAAAAGAAAATTGTGGTTCTTCCTCTTCCCGTGTATATGCAGTTATGATCAAGCATTTTGGGAGATGTGGGCGCCTAAAGGACGCCATAGATCTTTTTGAGGAAATGAAGAAACTTGGCTGTACTCCAGATATCTTTGCTTATAATGCTCTTATGTCTGGAATGGTAAGGTCTGGCATGGTAGATGAAGCCCAGTCCTTGTTCAGGACAATGCAAGAACAAGGCTGTAAGCCAGATATAAATTCTCACAATATCATATTGAATGGTCTGGCAAAGGTTGGTGGCCCAAAAATGGCAATGGAGATGCTTTTGAATATGAAGCAGTCAAAGTACAAACCAGATGCTGTGTCATACAATACAGTTCTTGGATCTCTTAGTCATGCAGGAATGTTTGATGAGGCAGCTAGAGTGATGAAAGAGATGAGTGCAATGGGATTTGAGTATGATCTTATTACTTACTCTTCAATACTTGAGGCCGTCGGAAAAATCGACGACGAACCCGCAGATTCTGTTCGGTGAGGGTCTGGTTTGACTGAACTTTTTCTTGAATTTCAGAAGAATTTGAACTCACAGTTTTTTCATTCTAATCCTGACTAATTTAATGTTGTTCACTCTGACTTGGAAGCTTTCATTGTACATTTTAGGAGATTTTACAGATATCCTAATAAGTTTACACGATGGTATAGTTTGAGTTTAGATGCTAAGATAGCAAATGTGAAAGTCATGTGATTGAAGAACATGCAATGAGTTGATGACAATATTGAAAGCAAATGTGGTTTGCAGAGAACTTTTGAGAGTTTGAAAGAACGATACCATGTCATACTTTTTAGGTTAATAGTAGGGAATTGTTGAGAAGTAAATCATGCAATGAACACAAACAAAAAAAAGAAAGCAGCGGAAAAAAAATCACCATGATTTAATGTGGAAAAATTCAGAATTGGAAAAAAAACTACGGAGCAACACCACATCAGAAAATATACTATGAAAATTAGGAGATTGTTCACATCTCTCTCACTCTCTCTCATTTTTTGTTTGTCTCATTTCACTTTACACTTCATTCTCCACTCAGAACTAACAAGCAGACACACATATACATCACCAAGTGACACAACCCTTCAATTTAAGCATGCAAAATGAGAAAGAAAATTTCCTAATTACAAATTACAACATTATAGCGCTACAACCTATAGCATTGTGAGGAGTCCATCATACCGAGGGCTCCATGGACAAACCATTAATTTCCTAACCACAAGCAGGGAGCATGCTGCCCTCTAATGAGCTCCTCGTGAAGCTTAATTGATAAAAGTGAGGTTTGAGTCAACAGTGCAACCCAATAGATGAACACAATCAAACTCCACAAGAAACTAACATTATTTTAGAGATGTTCATAAGCTAAAATGTAATATCCATGATGGTGATATCCAGTTCCAACAATTTTTTTTTGCATGGAGTCGTGAAGGAGAGGAATATACTCGAAAATGAGTCGAACTAGTGTTTTGGTTCCAACAATTGGGTACCCATGCTTTACTCAGACAGGCTTCACCCACTCACGCTCACCCATGGTGACTTTCGGGATGTCGTACCCGCCTATACTAACCCACTTTTCATGCTTTTTGAACGTAGTCTGTCATAGACTGATGGCCTTGAGGCTTGTTACCCTTTACTCTGATTGTAAACTTTCAAGTAACATATCATAATTTATCGCAGTCACAGTATGGCTAAGTGCTACACACTACGTAGTGAGGATTGTAATAATATAAGATATACTGTGATTAGCAATGTAAATCGATTTATCCCACGATGTTTAGTACTCACCCATATCCACCCATAAGGTCATGGGCGTGCCCATACCCACCCATACCTAAATGGGTGGGTACATGGGTGGGTGTGGGTATGAGTACCCAATGCAGGGCTCTGTAATCCAAGCGATTTGAGCATCTTGTGGGACTGTGGAAGCAAGTAAAGAGGAGACGAGCACGGCCGCTCACCTACTTGCATAGATTGGGAGAATGGAAGATGAGAAAGAAAGGTAAGGTCTTATTGAACTAAAATTTATATTTAAAATATATAGTTTATTTTATTTTAGAATTAAAATCTATTAAAAATTGTAATTAGAAATGATAAATTTTAAATATTGTGATAATGAAAATTTATTTTAATTCAAAATAATAATAATTAGAGTATGAATTTTTTAGTTGTAGAAAGAGGTAACAGCAAAGATGTTATTAAGATTTTAATTGGGAGAAGAAGAGTAAAAGATAAATATAATTTTTTTTATGAGAAGTTATTATTAATAATCACTGGGAAAATATTAAAATTAAAATTAAAATTTCATGAATTTAAAAATAGAAATAAATAAACACAGTAAATTTTATTATAAAAATTCATAAAAGATTTTAGTTATCTATTTTATTGTTATTATAGGTGTTAAAATAATTTTTTTGGAAATAAATGAAAATAGAAAAAGAATTATTTAAAGCTATTTTTTAAATAGAAAATGAGAGTTATTTAGTAACAATGAATAACAAATTAAAAAGATATGATATTAGATTTATAAGGTAGAATAATCTTATAAAATTCTGTATGATTATAAGTGCTCAAGTATCAAAGTGAGAGTAAGGATTAAAAAGGGAAAAATATGTCATTTAAATTCAAGGTGAGTAATCATTTCTCTAATTTATGATAATAATATTGATTCTTCTAAGCGCATCAATGATATTTAACTGCTTATCGTCATTACAAACTATTTGTGTTATTTATGTTAAAGATAATTGGTTATATTGTATTTGATGATATAGACTTATCATGATTCAATCATTTAGTACAATTTATACATGGTTTATTATGAAATGATAAAAAGAATACAAATAAAGTTATTTAATAAAAATACTTATATGTATTTGATTGAATGATAGAGTACAATCCTATAATGATACTAATTATGGATGCAATGTACCTGATTTGATCTCAATGGCTCAAAACAGGTTTTAATTGAACCACCCGGTTATTCAAAACTGAAACCGATTTGGCAGTTTGACAGTCGAACCGCCAGTTTGAACGGGCCAACAACGGTTTTGTGCAAAACCGGCCGTAATTGGCAGCCCGGCATGTTTGCGGTTCAATCAATTGAACCGACCGGTCTGATCCGGCTTTTGAAGCCTTGTTTTTTTTTCCTAATCACTGGATCTTCAGGGTTTTACAAGTCATTTCCAGGTTGCTGATTATTCATCTAAGCCAACTCAATAGCCATTGAGCTCCATATTGATCGCCTACCTCAAGGCAAAATATTGCATCCGGTCACCTGACAAGAGATCCGTTGGGATCTCTCTCTGTCTACAGTAAAGCGCAGGTGAAGCGCAGGTATGCTACAGTACCTGCGCTTTCACTGTAGACAGAGAGAGCTCCGAACGCATCTCTCCGTCAGGTGACCGGATGCAATAATTTGCCCTACCTCAAAGGTCGTTGTCCTCTTCTAAAGCGTTGTAGATCTAATCTTCAAGAACCATCTTGTTGCCTACGAAAATCTTGTTGCATAGGTATCAACAAATGACCAAATATGCTAATATGATTCAAATTTGATCCGAAAATTTTGAATTCTGATTGACTTGTTTAATAAACAAGTCAAATTTAGATTGGATTTTCTGACTGATTTAACCCGTTTAGTAAACCGTTCAGATTCAGACTAACCAATGAAGAATGAACCCTTTTTTTTTAAAGAAAATTACCTGTTTAATAATTTTTTAAACTTTTTTATATGTGGGTATAATCCTTTTTTTTTTATCAAACATCCTAAAATTAATAATTAGCAGGTTATAAATTTTCTTAACCAAAATTGGCCGGATTCGAATTATTCATTCCTAGAGGGTCGAGTTGAGGTTGGTTTTGACCTATTTAGTATTTATTAAACTTGTTGAGTTTGAGTTGGTTGGTTTCGGGTCAGGTCAATTTTGAATCAATCTCAAGTCCGACCCATGAACACCCATTTTGACACCACTATTGTTGATATCTTTCATTAGTTTTTGAGTAACTTCGAACCTAGAGTGGCTTCTGTTTCCATTGATGATGAAGAGATGCAGAGCTCACCAACAAGGATGGAAACAAAAATAATGGAAAATTTTCTAATAAGAATTTAGAGGACAATTTTTGCTTATCACAATTATTTTGAATGACATCTTTAGATTTAGATTTCGTTTGGGACAGCTTTTTACTTTATCTTGAAGCAGCTTTTTAGTACAAAGTTTATTTTTTTGTATTAAAAAGTTGTTTCAAGAAACAGTAAGAAAATCGTCTCAAACGAAACCTTATTTCTTGAAGAATATACTTCAAAATTTTATAAGTCAATCAATATAGGATTTTATCAAGAAAAATAAACTTCATAGTAGCTTATCGTATAATAAAAAATATTAAAAAAAAATCAAATTAGGCCTATGAACAGCTTACAGAAGTATAATTCTTGTTGCATTACTTGGTAGATATTGGCAACCCAATATCCACCAATCATGCATCCATCCAACGGCCATTATTGCATTTGATTAAACCAAAACTATAATATAACAAATCATGATCATTTTGATTGAATTGATTAAAGGATAATGAAAGCAATAGAACTTAATTATTTCTATGAGCAAATTATTTGAATTTCTTAATTTGATCAATAATCCAATCCAATCATTAATAATTAAATTGTTTATCTATTTAAACTTGATATTTTTAATATTGCTTTTAATTATTTATTTATATATTATCCTAATCTTAAAACAAATCCAATGGCTTTCAGATCTATCACAATTAATTTTACTTACAATATTCTGATAAAATATTTGTTTCATCAAATAATTGAATTGCACACCTCTAAGTCTGAGCCCTCTTCTCAAGAGATTATTACATGCGGAATCCGAACACAAAAAACCAATCAGTTTTGTGATTGTTAAAAATAAAAGCATAGTTATTGTTTATCATTGCGCTTTTACTGTTCACCGCTATGCTTTTATTGGTCACGGTCACAAAACCGAACGATTTTCTATGTCCGGACTCCGCACTTAATAATCTCACCCTCTTCTCAGCCTTCTCTCTATGCCAGATTTATATTTTAAAAATAGCATTATACTTATCGTGAAGGAATTCACGCCATGATGAGCTTCATTTTCTTTATTTTACGCTGAGATTAGTACAATTTTTAAATCTCAACGTAAATCCAAGAACAATGAGGCCCATCCTGACGTAAATTCCATCAGACTATCCTGATAAAAGATTTCTTTTTAGTTCTATACGCTTAATCAAAATGCGCATGCAGAAAAAAATATGCCTAAAATCAGATTGGCAAGCAGCTCTGCTTGTTGGACTTGAAAGAACATCAATCTGAAGTTCTATTGAAGCACCAAAACAAAAATAAAGTTAGATGATTTCATGGCTATAAACATATTAGAAGTTTGTATAAGTCATGAGTTCTGTAAATCCATTACAGGCCATAAGGTGCAAATTGGTATTTTTCTGGTGCAGCAGGTGAAGATTTGTTCAATCAGCTGCTTTCATAAAGATTAAGATTTTATTTGGGATGACTTTCTTACTGCTTCTTAAAGCAGCTTTTTAATACAAAAATTACTAAGAAGCAGTAAAAAAGCCGTCCCAAACAAAACCTAAGAGATGATCTGAACGCAATTCAATTTCTAAGGAGAAAAATTCCATGAACCATCAAAATAACCAAAGGAACTAACAAAAATCAAAAGATTGATAACAGAATTTCATATATAAGGTGTGAAGGTTGTTTATAACCCAACTCATGTACAGAAAAGTAAAGCCAATACCTCCAGCTTCGATATTTTGTTATTATTGCTGTCTTCCAAATTTTATAGAGAATTTCTCTGCAAGAAAATGACTTCAACAGGAAGCCAACAGGTTTTTCAGCCAGCAGAGATTGAGTTAAGACTTCAGATCACAATAGGAAGGTGCCCAACTCCTGATTGTGTCGAGTAAGTAAGACATTTCTAACACCAACCCATTGAAGCCGATAAGAAAGGTCAAGATTATGAAGAAGAAGTCTTATTCTGTCTGCTTCATCCAATTCCCTGGATTTTTCCTGTATTGACTAACACAAAGTTTTATTTGTGCAGAAAGATGTGAAAAATGGATGTAATGTTTCAGCTGAATTGATAACTAATGAACCATTAATACTAAGATGAACAGTACAAAGTGACAATAAGTAGACATGTTGACAGAAATAACATCAAGAAGAAAAAAAATACCAGTAACTATAGTAAGACTTTTCAGAATTATGCAATTGATTTGGTTCTTCTTACCCATATTTTTTTTTCCAAAAAAGAAAAAAAAATTAAACATAGTACTCTTCAACACTATTTACCGGGAAATTATTCTGTGCGGACGCCGAACGTCGTTCGGAGACCAATCAGAATGAGTCACATTAGTACCGTGGCTTAGTACCACGCTCAATATTGCTGACGTGGCTCATTCTGATTGGTCTTCGAATGTAGAGTTGCATTCAGCGTCCGCACAGAATAATTTCTCCTATTTACCATTGACAGCCTATACAACAAAGAAATAATAAAATAATAGCATCAATATACAAGAAATAAAAGATAAACAGTCCAAACTATGAAAAACAACATCCACGTTTACCTCAGAATCAGCCCGTTTATCAATCCTGACTATGTTTGCCATTATACTTGATCTAGAAGAATTTGGAGAAAATCCTTCCCATGGGGGAACAAAGATTAGTTTGGTACATTGAACGGGAACCAAGTTTCTGCTTAGCTTCTCCCACCAGGGAGTTCCCAGTGACCACCACCTTAGCAATAAGCCATTCTCGGAGAACGCAACTAGACCCTAAATCAGAAAAGAAAATTTGAGAAGGAAAATAGAAATGCTAAATTATACTAATGGTTTCAAAACAATTACCATGTATGCACATTTTAGATGCAAGAGAGTGGTAAAAGAAAAGGAGGCCAAAAGATGAATTAAAAAAGTAGGGAGTAAAAAAGGGACCTTTTGGCCCCATTCCAAATATACCCAAAATTTACCTTATCCTTACTTTTCATTGAATACGACAAATTAAAACTTCAACAAACCTATTTACACTCCTAATAAATGCAATCAAACAACCACTATGATAGTTCTAAATTTCAAAGTAACAAAAAAGTCATTAAATCTTCAAGAGTCTATTTAAACCTAACTTCAATGGAAGCTAGCCTGTAAACAAAGTAATTATGAGATATCACCCAATAAAATCAAAGTTAACTAACAACAATAAAATATAAACATTCAATATCTGAAATATTACACCTCTAACTATTTGAATTGTAGAAGAAGGAATTCTTGCTAAAAAAGAAATTATTTTAGTTGGCACCAGACCACCATGAACTTATGTTATTTCGCCAATCAATACAGAGAAAAAGACAAAATGTACCAAAAAAATATGGGAAGATAAAAAATGGAGAGAAAAACAAAGGGACAAGGGTTTATCAAGTGGCTATATATCACACGGCCTTTTGTTTTAGGAAATGGTAATTGGGGCACTCCGATGACCAAACCTCTAACTTAATTAGGGTGGAGTGAACAAGCATATAATATTACACATGCATATGTGTGTATCAATATGTATATATGAGATGTATTTGACTTATCGATAGAATCAAAATGCTTTTCCGGTCAAATCATACACCGTCCAAATTTTTATATGTACATGATGAAAGCAGGTGCAACAATTAAGGAAATATATTACTGTACAGTTAACTATCACATGCACCTAACCTAAGATCACATATTTTCAAACTACGTAACATCTTTCATACTCTTGTTGGTAAACAGTGAAGCCATAATTCCCCCTCCTATGCCAATCAATAGAGAAATTATTCTGTGCGGACAACAGACAGTCCAGAGACCAACCAGAACGCATCACGTCACCTAGTACAAGCGGTACCGAGCACCGATACCGAGCAAAAAAGTGTCGCGGCACATTCTGATTGGTCTTCGGACGCCGTTCAGTGTCCACACAGAATAATCTTTGCAATCAATGGCACTTAATCCATTATAGCAATTCTTCCACTACATGCATTTACTAAATCAGCTACAAATCAACTCTTCCATGTCCCAAGGAACGGAGTCCTATAGACTAACAGAACAGTAAAACATTTGAGTATTGCCAATTTGCCATCAATGCTGGAGAAAAAAATACTATGGTCGGAATTCAAGTAATGAAAAAAACCTCGTATCATCATTGAAGGATGCCAGACCTAACGAAAAGTAAACCAATTGAAGAAGAGTTGAAGTGAAATTATTAGGAAAATGTAAATGTATAAATTTACATAAATTCTTTCTCCTAAATTGCTTCAGCACTGATCCTTTTCCATGTATCAAAATTCAATTAAAATGTACTCTCTCTCTCTCTAAATTTAATAGGGACTAATATATACATACATGACTTAATGCAATTTTAAAATCATTCAATTATCCCAGGACGCATCAAGGTGTCGGCAAATGACTTGAATTCAATAGTAAAGTCGTTAAAGATATTATAACATATATAATAGTTTTAATTAGTGAAATACATACGTCAAATTAAGAATTTTATATATGATTTTATACTCAGCCTAATTATTCTCAATTTGTTACATATCGGATGACTATTCATGTCAATATGATAATTAACGAAACTTGGAAAATAGAAAATTTTCATGTTTCAAATGAATGTGAACTGCATAAATTAATTTTTTAAAACATAAAAGGAACATATAAATCTTGATATTGGTCTACAATATAAGAAAATTTTAGGGATCAATTTTGGCAAATCTTTATGATGGTTTCATCAATTTATTAAACATGTAATGAATAAATGAATAACATATAGCCTTTCATTAAAATACTACAAATGTCTACTTTTTAAAATAAAAGGTATTGAAAGTATTTTAGAAATTATGCATACTCATAAAATTTCAATTAATCATCAATCTTAATATTTGGACCCAACATGGGATGCCAACTTTACGTGTTTGAGGCACTGTTAGATAATTTTGAAAGTTAATAAATTTAAATGTCCTGCATTTCATGGTGTAGAACAGCACAAGCATATTTGATTCATAAATCAAATGTAGCATGTTTCAAAATTGGCAAAAAAAGCTTTATATTAAAAAAATGCTTTCTATATAGTAGATTGGTGGCCTATCATGTTTTTGGTAAAAGAAAAAGATTAAAATGGTCATTGGACTATTTATGCCGAGGCATTTTAATCCCAAATTATATAATGTGTTCAACTTAGTCTTTGACTTGTCAAACCTAATCCAAAATAGTCCTTTGATCGTTTCAAATCTGATCCAAAATAATCAAACAAAAAAGGGTTACTTTGGATCATATTTAAAAAATTTGAGAGATTAAATTGAACATAGTAGACAGTTAGGACCAACCCCAAACAAATAATCCAGAGACCATTTTGACTTGCTGATCATTTTGGGTGTATATTGTACCGATTAGCATTTCCAATAAGAGTATGTAACCATGACATTTTTATAATTAACTTAATTATTTGTAAAAGATTAAAAAGGAATAGAACATGTCTTTATTCATGAATTAAACACTTCTTGCAGGTGAAAAACATACGATGTACCTCTCCATCTGGTGAAAAGCTTAATGCTGATATGGCTGTAGCCATCCCTGCGTTGGATGCTCCTTCAAGTAAACTTGGAAGACCAAGAGGGGCACTTGCATCCAAAATCTTTATTTTTGTTACACTGCATCAATACGTAAAATAATATGGTACAATATATGAAATCTAACCACGTAACTGAGCTGTTCAAGAAGATTTGAATTTTGTTTGAGAACACAAATTTTCATAATTCACCGTTCTCAGAAGATGCCAAATATTTGAAGTGATTTCAAGGCCAAAAAGAGGATGCCATACAGTCTATTTGGGATCAGGTACCCTTCAAAGCCATTGACAAGGAAGATGAGTAATTGGGATTTTCAACCGTGATTTTTTTAGTGTTAGGTTTAGTTTGGGACGGCTTTCTTACTACTTCTTAAAGCAGCTTTTTAATTTCTGTACTAAAAAGCTGCTTTAAGAAGCAGTAAGAAAGCCATCCCAAACGAAGCCTTAGTTGAAAATTGATGATGTTCATGTCTTAGACATCAAGAACTTATGCTGCGAGGGAATGGGAATTGAATTTTCATGTAGTGTGAGAGGAGACTGATCTTTGTTGGTGAGAGAAGTAGCTGATAGGTTCATTTCAGAAGGGAGGGTAAAGCGAGGAGAAAAGGCAAAGTCAACGAGAGATGAGCGCCGTGAGGCCGATACCAAGTTGAAATTAAAGCTAAAATGATAAAAGTAGAATGGACTCAGTAGAAGGGATAAAAAAGAGGAGCTATTAGTGTATATTAAAAACTCCTATATGTTATGTATGTAATAAAAAAATTGGAGAAAGTAAATCCAATTTTTTTATTTGAATTAAGGAAAGAAAAAGTATATGAACCAAACGAAAACAAAAAAGATTTCAAAAGAAATAATAAGATTCTTCGTGAATCATCCGTTCTAAATCGAACGATGAATTGGTTAAATTATTCACTAATAGAAAAAAGAATGAAAGATCTTTCTAGCTAAAGTAGTTTTGAATGAAGGGTAAGGATGAGCTCAATACAAGCATGTGCTGTCCTTTTTACATTTCTGTTATAGGCAGTGCTATTAAGTGCAGCCTATTCAAAGAGAGCAAGGAAGAAAAAAAATCACACAACTTTGAACAAATCTATAAAAGCACAAAAAAGGGGGTAACATACCTCTCCAAATCATAAACAAGAATGGTTACACTGCGAACGTCCCCAATAGCACTCCCAATGGCTAATCGAGTTGATGACTCATTAAGAGCAACCATTGGAAGTACCCGTGCAATTTCCTTTAGTGCAAGCATGGAGCTTTTAAGGCAAGCTTTACGCATAACCAAGTTGCTGGGATCCATAGTTTGTAGCACATAGTTCAGAATCTGCAAATCTCCTTTATATTAAAGCTCATAAAATAAGTAAAGTATGCAACTTGTATGTTATCTTAGGATGAAGATGATATATTTATTGTATAAAATAAAAATACCAAGAAAGAATCATCATAATAGAGCACATCAGAATTATTAGTAAATGACAGATCATCATTGACACCAAAAAAAAAAAAGATTGGTAAGCACAAAAAAAAGTAAACTGCACCTCCCTCCATTACCTTTGTCGTACATCCAAAATCATAACAGGAAACTAGATTAATCTGCCGCCATTTTCTTCTTGACTAGAATTATATCCCTTGGTTAGAATTTGCAGAAACCAAACCAAAAAATTGAAAAACTAACCAATAAAGACAAAATAATTAAGCAGATTCACTTATCAAGAGAATCCAGCTTAAGTTGAAAGAAAAAAAAAAGCAACAGAGGACCTAGACCAATTGAGAGTTGTATCTAGGATCTGAATTCAAGGTCAAACAGGAGGGCTCGCGTTGTCTATACAAGTAATCTTGGAATCTGACTTGATAGAACTTTCCAGCTGTCCCACCATGTTATAACAACAGAATTAAAGAAAACAGCAGAAAATGTTTGCCGGAATAATTTAGTAATAAAAGGGAATCAGAGAATAGAGTAAATGCTAGAGTCGATGGTTTAAATTGTAGAAAATTTGCTTTGCCTGATCTCTAGAGGTTCTTGATACCACCACACAGAAGTATTCCTACTGTCTTCATTCCACTTTGAATGGCAAAACAACAGTCAGGCACCTCTTTCCTCAGCTAAAAATCAGATAACAGAGCCTAGGACAGTCGAGGAAGGTGCAAGGACTCCAACGATCTATTGGACTCCACTACAATATCCTTTACATCCTCTCCTCTTCAAAATAGGGGAATACACCCCAAAAAAAGAGAAATCCTTCACAAACCAAGTGAGACGTAACTCAATAAAAGACCCTTCCTAACAGTAGAAGAAGAAGTCCGGTTTTGCTCAGTTTGGAAGAGTCCAGATTCGTGGTCGACATATTTGAGGGATAGAAGAGAAGTTCTTGCAGTTCATAACTTCGACCAGAAGCAAAGAGGAGTTTGTAGGGTTTCCTAGAAGAAGGAGAAAATGCGATTAGTGCTCGACCGAGAGGAGGAGGAAGAAGAAGAAAGTGTTTAGTTGTGCATTCTTTTTTTACCATAAGAAAGAAGTGAGCGGGTATTGTTCGTTTGAGTTGGCATTGGCTTAGAGTGATTTTGGTGAAGTTGGAGAGGGAGGAGGTGCGTGATCATGGTTGATTGCATGTGGGGTTTGTATTTGCACAGAAGAAGGGGAAGAGGGCTATTTGGCTGTGCTCAACCAAAAAGAAAGGCATAAGGACTGATGAGTAGCTTTGAGCAATGATTGAGATGGTCTTAAATTGTTTAAGTAAATCAGAAGCAACAAAGAAGAAATTGGATAAGTGAATTTTCTTTTTGATGGAAAAAGAGATTTACAATTTTAATGTGAGTTCTTTAACTTATGTGATGGTGTTCGACAAGAAAGAAGAAGTCGAATTGTGCAATCCTGTGCAGAGAAGTAGGAAAATAATTGAACGTAAGTGATGCAATTTATTTAAATATCAATTCAATCATTCTATGGAATATATTAAGCATGCAAATGTGAATTGATAATTTGGAGGCGTTCAATGTTGACATTGATGATGTTCGATGCCTTCGAAATTGCCCTTAATGATGTTCAACATTCCATCATTGATTTTGATGTTATTAACACCTTATTAGTGTTTTAAGATATGGCATAATTGAGTAATATAATCGAGGCAGAACATTTAAGCAAAGCAAATGTGTTCTTGGGGAAATTTTGGGTGATGAGTAGTAAGGAAGGTCAATTAAGAATTTAAGGAACTTGGAAGTGGATTTTTTGCTCTTTCAAAAGAGAGTGAGGTGGTTGATTATGATTATATTTTATTCAGTAGCACTTATAGTTATATTATTAATAAAATACATTTACAGATATAACATATTGCAAGTATATTTGCTAACTTATAGTAACACTACTTTACATTAAAATAGTGAATATAATGACATGTGATAGAATGTTGTTTTCAACATCAGGAAATGTGAAGATGTTATCGCTATAGCATGAATCCTACTTTCACAAGCTTAAGATCCCATTTTTTCTAAGGTAGAATGGAGTTTACATTTAACCAGATTTCTCCTAATGATCGGCATCAGAGTTTATTTATTTTTGAGGTTCCATTTCCTATAAGCGCAAGTCATCATAGTTAATTACTCCTTCTAACGCGTAGAAGAGCGCTTTCGATTAATGATGAAATTATATTTGGTTGTGCAAGAAGTGTCGAAGTGTGCAAGTGTTTTAATCTTAGTTGTGGGGGGATGAAGGTACACCCGATAAAGATCTCATGGTTTACTCGTCCCGGGTACACCGTGAGTTTCAGTCTACCAACACTAACAATCATTTATTGTAGTGTCCAAAGAATCTGATTAGCAGTCATGGGTTGTCTACTCTCAAGGATCCTGCGTAAATCTATAGAGGTGACAGCTATGAAAATGCAAGAATTGGCAAGCAGGAATAGAAGGTATAGCAATGGAAACACAGAACAATAGTGAGGAAGCTCTATCAGCGCAGCCACAATGGGAAAGATCCAACCGACAACTGAAAATACATGACAATGACTGAAGATATAAAATCAGCAAAATGAAGTGAGAAATATTTCCCAAAAAAAAAACTGAGAAATAATGAGCAAATCATTATGGTAATAATTCAAAACTCCATACAAGCTGATTGGAGTTATATAGGTTGAATTGAAGCTAAATAATAATAAGTTAGACCGAATATAGTATTTAAAAATACCTAGAGCACTCTCAGTGATAAGCTAGCTTGCAAAGTAACAGATACGAACCTTGTCAAGATATAAAGCTGAGGGTTTTGGAGATCCACGTACTATCCTGATGAGAGTTTTCAGTGATACAAGATGGACGGGTGAATCTGATGAAGTAGACCAGATTTGGTCTTCTATTACATTCAGAAAACCAGCTATATCAGCCATCGCTAAACTTGGTAAGAGAATCCCTACCAAAGACTCCCGAATATTAGCAGTCATGGATTGATTATGTTTCCCAGTATTAGCTGGCGCACCAGAAAGACACTCTATCTGGAAAAATATATCACCAACAAGGCGTGGTATTTCAGGTCCCAAACATGATTTCCAGGAGCTTTCCATGCCTTCAGCCAGAAGCTCAGCTGCAGTTGAACAGAATCGGTCATTCATAGACATTACTAACTTAACCAACCTGTCAGAAACAAGCTTGGCAAGATTTTCTTTCACTTTGCTTGGGTACCAAACCACCAATGCAGCTGCAACAATAATGTGGGAAGCCATAGCATCCTGGCTTGTTCCACCAATGCAAGAGACCCACTCGTGAATTTCAAAAGAATCCAGCCATGAAACAATTTCATGATCACCATTTTTGTTCTGTATAGAGTTTTCGAAAACTGTGTGACGACTTGCGGATGTTTGATCACTTTCAGAATGAGTATGTTCCTCAACATTCACAGAACTTGTATTAACTCCAGGATGGAGTGTCTTCTGACCATAAAGAGAATGCGGAATAGCACGCGGAGCTGCACAATGAAACAAAGAGCGTGCAGCCATGCGCACATGTTCGCTAGGGTCTTGCCAAAAACTCACCAATAGCTGCGCACATTATGGATCAAGTTAGCATGCAAGTTCATTCATTGTTTGAGCAACAAAAACTTTAACAAGCAAACTGAAACTGATCTTCCAATGCTAAAGATCAAAGAGAGGTGCCAAACCATTAACATTATTTGCAACCTGGAGTAAAGGAGGCTTTATGTCTTGAACTCTCTCTGCAAAATTTCGAGTATAGAACGCCGCCAGGGCACTACAAAGAAAGAAAGAATAAACAACTTATATCCTCAAGCACAAATCTTGCACAAGTACCCTTTCAGTATAAAGAAGAAAGCCGTAAATTTAATACAGAAGAAACCGATAAACTGTTATAGAATTCCAAGTAAAGGGAAAAAAGGTAACAATGTAATCTAGTTCTAACTTCTAAATAGTTGAAAGAAGCAAATGGTATGTATTTTTAACTCTTTGCCAGAAACCAAACATAATGTCCAACAAAATTAAAACATTCAGAGTTCCATAAAATATAATCATGTAAGCATTTTATAAAAATAAAATGTGGTTGGAAGCTGGCCAGGGTTTCTTAGAACTGCACCTTTAGTGACATACCAAAACTTAACTGTTAAAAAAGAACAAGGACTAACTAGAACATCACTCGCAAGTGACACACCAAGACTTAACCTAATTGTGTTGAATAGTAGGTGATGAGAAAATTTAGATTTGTGGCATAAAGAATATGAACATGGATTTAAAAGTTTAGAGAATGACTGCATACAATGACTAGAGAAAGAATAAAAATTATATTACGACAAAAAGACAAATTAAACAAATACTTCAAGAAATAAGATCACTTTTTTACTTTAAAAAGTGGAGCTACAATTTGCAGATTTATTATCATTAATATAGAAGAAAATAATTATTTTTTCAAACATTGTAAGGTGATTTCTGAAGAATATCGGATCAAAAAGCACAGATTAGTGGTCATGAATTTTTATATAATAAAAGAAAAAGCAAGATTCAAATAGTTATAATTAGTGATATATGAAAGCTAAAAAATATTTCTGATGGATGTTTACTTTAGAAGAATTAAGAAGTAAAAAACAATTTGTTAGACCGTCCAGCCGGTCCGCACGGGACCGGCAGTTCGCGACTGAGGCGGGATCTCCGCCTCATGCGGAGATCGAGCGGCCCGTCCACCCCCGTAGAGCCGTTTAGGAAGTTTTTTTGAGCGTTTTGAGAGGGAAATTTGAACGTAGGGACTGTTTAGGGAATTCCTTTTCAAATAGTTATAATAAGTGATATATGAAAGCTAAAAAAAATAATTCTGATGGATGTTTACTTTAGAAGTATGAGAAGTAATATACAATTATCCTAAGATAACGATATTCAGATTAAAAATGTGAAAAAATATGGCTTTTCGAATATGTTGACCAAAGAGAAAAGTCAAAACTTTAAATGATAATCACACCACGTGAGTTAATATGGCCGGTTGCATTAAAACTATTGTTATAAAATTCTAGGGGTAATATATTGCAAATAAAGTATGGTAGAGTGAAGAGGCATAAAAGATTTATGCTTTTAAAGAATGGAAACAAACGTATTATGAAGACATAAAATAAGAGAAAAATATCAAAATGATCCCTTGACTATTATATAAGATCATTTTAGTCCCAACTATCTAATATATTGATATGCCTTGTAGTCAAGTTCAGCTAATCACAGCAGAAAATCCACAGAAAACAGTAGAAAACACTCAAACAATAGAATTTGGAGGAAATAATGGCTGGTTTCGATTAATAACTCAACAAAAAACAAAAGATACAAGCGATCTACAATTAGAGAGGTAAATCGTCTCTCCCAATCAACCTAGACGCCGCTAGGAAGCTCTCACAGAAGAAACTATAGCAAAAAACTCAAAAGAAACATAACCCTAATACAAAATAACAATCCCTATATAAGCCTCTACTCTTCCCTCCAATTTAACCCTAAAAATTATCTCTTGCATTAATTAATTCCCTCCCTCTTTTGACTCCTAACATATGAATAATTGGTTTACTAGGCCCCACAAGTGGAGCCGAAATTTCAGCCTTTTCACCCCCTGTAAAGTCCGGCCCCTAGCTGCTGAGCCGGCTACAAGACCGGTCATGCTAGATTGGTCGTAACAAAACTCCCCTCCCAAAAATGCAAATTGTCCTCAAGGTGGAAGGTTGGGAATTGTCTCTTGATTGTCTCGTATAATTCCCAAGTGACATCAGGCATTGGCAAGTCCTTCACCTTGATTAGCACCTCTTGTGTCCTTGTCTCCCCTCTGCATATGCTTGTTATTTCCGGTGGTTCCAACATAAACTTCATATACTCTATCAACATTGTGGGTAGTGATGATGGTGCTTGTTTCTCTATTGCCTTACTCAACTACGATACATGAAAGGCCGAGTGCAAAACTGAGGATGGTGGTAGCCTTAATCGATAGGCTACTACTCCGATGCGCTCCAAGATCTCATAAGGAATAAATACAGCGGGAATAGTTTTTCATTCCTTCTCTTCGCTAAAGTTTTTTGATTGTAGGGCCTCAATTTTAAGTATCATGTCCCCAAGTTCAAAATTTGCATCTCTCCTGTGACCATCCGCCTTCTTTTTCATGATCTGTTGGGCTCACAACAAATGCCCCATAAGCTCCGCTAGTACATTTTCCCTCTCTTCCAATAACTTCTCTACACTAGACCACGGTGTAGCGTTGCCACCATAATGAATCAAGTGTAACACTACATAATACCCCTTAACAGTATTGTAGAATGTCGCACAAATAAATATAACATTTTTCATCATATGAATAAATCATCCAACAATCTTACCTTTAATACATAAACGGAAGCATCTTATAAATATCAAATTACATCAAAACAATTACTTCAGAGTACAGAGCCACTAAAGAAATTCAAAATATTACACACACATGCAAATGAATATATCATGTAAATGCATTATGCTAATCATGCAAATGCATTAGGCCAGCCATACAAATGTATCATCCCAATCATACAAATACAACCCATCTTGTTAATGCATTATGCAATTCACATAAGCATATTATGCATTATGCAAATCACACAAAAGGGATTAGTTATCTTGCAAATGCATTATGCAAATATATTGAAAAATGTATATGACATTTCAAAGAAATTTGATCACCCGCAAGTGCTCCGACCGCTACGCTAAAATTTCAAATTTGAGGTCCGAGAATGTTGCACGAGTCAAAAGTGAGAACCTAAGTTTAAGTCTGGCCCTCTTCCTTGAATGGATCAGAGTTGAAACAACTTCAACTAATGAACAAATACACACTTGTAGCATCAACCAAAGTATTTGGTTTAATACGTTCACATTAGGCCTTCAAGGTCTCTTATAAGAAAGGTTCACTCATTAAAACATAAATTCTCGGTACTAACGCTCATTGAATCAATCGGAATATTTAGTTTTATATATTCACATTAAGCCTTCAAAGTCTTTTATAAAGAAAATCCGCTCATTAAAATGCAAACTCTGATTCCAATACCAATACAAAAACCCTGAAAGTCAGTGGCTGAACCTGATCCTTTGTTGGCAAGCAAACATAATTGACAATGTTCACATAATGAAATGAAATTACTTACAATCTTCAATGATGACCATATTGAGAGTGAATATTTACTGGTGGGGACACTATTACAAAAATGTCATGTACACTTAGATCGAATAGATCCTTTGTGAGCAAGTGGGTAGAGTTGACAAGATTCAAATAACTGAAATATAAATTATTTAAATCCCTGATAATGGCTGTGTTAAATGTGAAAATCACCCGAAAGGGATTCTAACTTTTAGATGCCCCAAAACTCTAATAAAATATAAAAATAATTAAAAGTGATTTTTCAATAATGGTTGGGTTGAAAACTAATCACTCAGAAGATCAAATTTCAATAAAAGTCTAAATCTAATATTTATCCAAATTTCAATATTTAAGTAAATCACTTGCAAAACTTAAATAAAAAATACATTTACCTTTCACAATAGTTTGCCGAGAAGAATAAATTTGAGAGTAACTACAGCTCATAAAGAGCAAATGACCAATCGAGAATATCGCTAAAATTCATTCTCAAACAATTGTTTGTTAGTAATGACGTGTTAAAATGTCTTCTAACAGTGGTTTGGCCCAACGTTTCGCAGAACACATGGCTTCTCCCAACAGCTTCATGTGATAAATAGTTATAACGAGGTCCTCTGATTGATGGTTTAGCCACACGGCTCCACAAAATCAATAGTTTGGCCCAAGGGCTCCACATGGAGAAAGATTATGATCGATGTCCTCTAATCGGGTGGTTTAACCAAACGACTCCACTATATTACAGTCAAAGCTAAAGCCCGTATGTTATCCAATGACTAATACCCTTAAGCAATCAATCACAGAGTATAATTAATTGAGCATAAAGCCCTCTCTCAGTTAAGGCCAACTCAAATATATCCCCTTACAAACATTTATCTCAAGTATGCAAGGTACCCTTGGATAAAAGAACTTATGACTACCGACAGGGATCCTTTGATTGGATTGGGTCGACTACCTCCTTTGACTAAGTAGACTAGGGTCCTCAACAGCCTAGGATGATGAAGCTATGAGATTGGGCCCGCCATAATTCCCTCATCGCCCGTTTTAAGAATATGGTGATAAATTTCAAATCCTAGAAATTTTAAATTTCTAAATCCAAACCCTAAAGCCACGGTTAATATATATGGGGTAGTTAGTACCTATTTAACACTAACCTTAATCGAGAATTCTCTTTCGTTATCGAGATATGTAATTAATCATAGGAGCTTGTGCAAACCAGACCCCATATCATAAAGTACGCAAAATTATGGTGAAATCTGTTGGTAATGTTTATATAAAATCCAATATGCCTTTTAAAATTTAAACGGGAACATAATCTCGTTAAAAAGGCGCAGAGAAATTGGACGTGAATTTTCAGAGCCCACAGCAAGTACTAGAATATAAAGATTCATAAGCTAAATTTAGTAAATATCAGGTTATAAATTACTCGTAAAATCAGCTTACAATCAATTCAAGATTTAATACTCAAGACCCTTTAGAGGATGTGATTAAATGTAGGTACCACAAAAAATTGCATATGTTATAAACTAAATGATCATAATAGCAAGAGAATGTTACAATAAAACCCAATTTAGAAAAAAAAAAAAAAACAATCACCTAATTTGATTATATATTGATCCAATAAATTAAAACACAACAAAATATTAATGAAAATTGATGTAGACGCAATACATGAAAAAAAAACTAGAATGGGAAGATAAAAAGCAATAATGAAAAGTTTACAACTAGCACAACAAATCTTGGATGGATCTAGCAACTAACAATAATGGTAGCACAAAGACGAGAAGATTCTGCTCTTTGAGAGCAAAAAAAGGGGGGTTTCCAGCAATAAATAAAAGAAAATGAAGACACAAAAATAAGAAAAAATTGGAGACAACACAAGGACACTCAAACCTACGATTGGACTGACAAATGCCCTTCACATCATCCGTGGGAAGACCTAAAATACTAAGGACAGCAAGCAGCCACAAAACAAAGAATTTTTGCATTCAAATGTTCAAACTCAAAAACTCAACACAAGTTACCTTTTCCATATTCCAAAAAACCTTTAGACTTCCTAACATCTAGTCTCTAAAAAGTGGCCAGCCGAAGAAGTAGGGAGAGGAAAAGACAAGCTCATACATTTTTGAAGAAAGATAAAAGAAAAAAAAAGGACAGCATCAATGTAAGAAAGGTATCCAAAGCCTTCAAAATGGAGGTATTTATGATGAAGGAAATCATGAAAATAATGGGAAAATAAAAATAGTTCACAAATTAATTAAGGGGGAGAGGTGGCCAGCCTAAAAGGAGAAAAAATATATAAGATAAATTAAAATACATGGTAACTTGGCAAACCAATTAATATAAAAGGGCCCATGACACAACCCAAAATACAAAATATCCTTAAAATCATCATTTCATTAAAGAAAATGCATAAGGATATTGTGAATGCGATAAACAAATCCCAATGATCGACAATGCCAATAGCTATAAGCTCTAAGCTCAACATCATTATGTAACGCTATAAATCAAGTTTCGAGGTCTTACTAGGCGGAAGCAACAAATGAATATTTGGCTTCTAATAAGATGAAAATTATTTTGAATTTCTTGTGGTAAACATGAACAACTAGTCAACTACATCATAGGGCAAGAAAACAGATTCTTAATTTCAGAAAATAGCATGCGCAAAAAGCAAAGCCTCACCTGCATGCAACTGTAGTGGAATGATATAAGCCAATCATGCATTCCGCAAGTGAAACAATTATAAGAGACCTCATAGCACAATATTCTGATGAGGACTTCCAAAGCTGATAATACATTAATAATAAGATTCAACCACAAGGTTCAAAATGCATAAAATACAAAATCTGATCCTAAACAGATTACCTCTAAGCTAGCACATTGACCAGGGAACATCAAGGTCATTGAACATCTATCCCCCAGTATTCCAGCAGCTATTTCAAATCCATCTGGTTTGCATACATCCATTTCCTCCTTCAAAAGCTTGTCTAATTCTAGATCAATATCCCACAGGTGAAGAAAGCATAAGCTGAACCGAAGCAAATATCCTTCCAACGTTTGTTTCATAATATTACTTCTATCCCCTTGAGCAACAGCACTATCATCTGAAGGTTCATCTTTCACAGATTGCTCCTTTGCCTTATTAGAAGATTGAGAAACTGTTTGCTCATCATGATTTTGAAGATAGTTCAAGGAAACCAAAGAGGAAAGGTCAAATTCCAGGATAGCAATTCCAGGAAAAGGGCAAAAACATATAATAGGATGTTTATTGTTTTCACGAACATGCTGGAAAGCAAGCTGCTTTGCTAAGCTGTTTACAGCAGAATCAGAATTGGCATCATGAATCATGCTTATGGAAGGTAACTTTCCTTTATTGCTATTTGTTAGGTAACTATATGATTCTGGAAAATCTGTACTTTTCCTATCAGATTGCAGCTTTTGAACTTCAGATACTGCAACTGTGCCTAAATCAGTTCTTGTTGATCTGGATTGAGAGGAACCAGAATCATCACTAACAGGAAGAAGCAATGGTGATGCTGAAGTACTGCCTCCCATTATACTTCCATTGATGAAGTTTAAGTTGATACCCTTACAAAAATGATCTAACATCGAATGAGAAGCCGATCCACGGATAATCCTTTCACGAGCACCTGTTTTAACATCCCACAGGTATAAAATGTCAACAGAATCAGATGGTGCTGGCAAACTTCTACAAAGACATGCCAAGTAACCTCTTCTGCTGTCCCAGGCAACCAGTGATGGATAACTAGGATGTCCAGGGAACATCCTCTCAACACGTAATGTCGCAAGGGAAACAAGAGCCACACAACAATCTTCACCAACAGAAAGGAAACAGTCCTTCCATGGTTTGTCAGTCCAGGCTGGTGGTAATATGATTTGCTTGATAGGAGCTATATGATGATGCATTACAAGAAGAAGAGTTGCAGAATCTAGATTCCATATCCGGACTGTGCAGTCCATGCTTCCCGACACTAGTATCCTGCGAAGAGTAGGGTTGCTTGAGCTCTCAACCATAAGATGCGCTGCCAAGCAAAGCACAGCACCAGTGTGTCCTGAAAAGAAACATTCAGTTACATGCATATTAGAGGAGTCCAGTGAATCTTCTTCTGCAGAATTTTCATTTAGAGATGGACTCAGAAGCCAAGCCACTTGAATTTCACCGCTATAGAAGCCATAAACAATGGCGTATTGAGTGTAAAAATCATGTGAAAGCACCATTGAAGATGAAATGATACGATCTGCTAAACAATGGCCATTATCTGCCCTTTTGCTACCTAGAATACTCAACTTCTCATCTAACTTTTTTGTGTGGCAGAATGACTTAATATCAGAAAAGCCCCCTTTTCCTAAGAGCATACTGAGAGAACAGCTGCCATGCTTTCTCTCCTTGGTTGATTCAAATTCAACTATTGACCAAATAGTGATTGAAGGTTTCCATGCCAGTAAATCTCCTTGTGAAAAAGAGAGCGATTCTAGACGAACAACAGAGTCATTCAACTGGCAGAAGTGAAACAATGACTCCCCTATGCTATTCGGAGGGCCAGCAGGAACTTCACAAAGAGGCTGAAAGTTGAATACAGTAGATGATATAAAAATTAAAAACACCATGGCAGACCCATTACTGCAACAAAAGGCAAAACAAAAACTCCTTGGAGAATCCTCCTCAGAGACATGGGTTTCTGATACACTGCAATTGACATCACGATGAAGGAACAGTCCCCCGGTAAGATTCAGCCTCGCGGAAGATTCTTCATCGACAAGGTTAGAATCCAGTAAAGAAATCTCGCCCATGACCTTGCCATTTAATACAGATCTAAATTCGCAGTGAAATTTGTATATTAGAACCAAGAGACTACCATCTTGAGCTACCGCCACAGCCTGCTCAGCATCGTTAGAGTTACTCTCCCCCCATACGGATGTGAGCGACTCCGACGAAGAGCCTCGATTCATAGAACTTGTTGAGCCTTCACCGTCGTGACCAGACTCTTTCGGCAGCGCCAAGAACTGAGCTTTCCCGTACCCATCAACCAGGAAAACAGCTTGCTTCCCCTTCTCTACTTCATCCAACAAAGGAACGAAAGCCATGGACTTCACATACCCAATGCCCAAACTACCATGGAAGACAGTCTGCACCATAAGCAGTGTGCTGGAGTCCACGATCAGCACGGAACTCTTCGAAGACTCACCTGAGCTGCACGCGATGCAAACGTGGCGCGGTGAAGATGGAAGAGCGGCCAAATGGGAAGGACTCCCCGCCCATTGGGGGAGCTTCCGTCGCCGACGGCAGCGGAAGCTGCCAGCGCTCCAGACGCAGAGCACGCCATCCGCGCACGCGCTAAGCAGCGCGGACGGGTAGAGGGTCGAAGACATAGGGTTTGATGAGTCTGGGAAGCAGGGAGCAAGAACAGCAATCTCAGCGGCGTGACCACAGAGGAGGGCGAGGGGGCGGACATCGTGGCCTGAAAGGGCCCAGCGGACGACAGCGCCGTCGGAACCACCAGTGAAGAGTGATGGAGGGTTGTGGAGGAGGACAGTGACGGCACTGATACGATGAGAGGGCGCCGAAGGGGGCCATAGGCAGGCGATGGCCGGGCACTTCATCGGGCATTGTTTGATTTTTGTTTTTCTTTAATTGATCTATAGTTAAGTTTTTTTAATATCTCTTAATTATATCATGATTAATGTAAAACCAATTTAATGCCCATTTGAGACACATGCCAAGCCTAAAAATTCTAACATTTGCAACCCGCTTTTGGTAAAAATTATTGCGTGCGGCTTTCGGATTCGTCTGGAGGGGAATTCGGACATGCCACATCACCCGAGACTCAGTGCATCTGGATGATGTGGTGTGTCCGAATTCGCCTCCGGGTGGTTCGAACGCTGCATGCAATAATGGCTCCTTCAAAAAACTTTTATTTTCACCATCCATAATATTTTTAGATTTTTTTCTTTCTATTAGAAGGGTTGGCTACAATTTAGGATTTTGAGTGAGCATTAGGTAGAGCGGTGAGGTTTTGAGAAAGCTGTGGGTGGAACATCAATGGAGATCGAATAGTTGGAAGAGAGAAGTGTAGTAGTTCGACTATGGGAAGAGAAGAGCTCAAAAGAGATGGTTGATTTGAGTGGGTTTATTGCAGTTTGGGAATCACAGGAGGGATTGCTATTCGGGTAAGAGGTTGCGAGAAACATGAGGTCTCAAGATTAGAATTGAATGCTGAACCTGTAGTGTCACATAGCATCCCTTGGTGGTATATACATGCATTTCTCTTTTTTTTAGTGTGAAAATGGTCTAAGAGAGAAGATAAACAAGGAGAAATCGAGATAAAATAGATTTATATATAAATTTCTTCCATTTTTCATAGTGGATTTGTTAGTGTGATGTGGCTACGTAGTTTTTTTTTCCGATTTCAAAATTTTTCACTTTAAATCTTGAAGTCCTTTACTTTTTCACAGTATTCTATTTTTTTATTTATTTTATTACATGGTTTATTTCACATCCTAACAAATATTTGATTTTGAATTTAGGCCAATTCAATCAATTTGATCTCACAAAAAAAAAAAAAAAATCAAAAAAAAAAAAAATCAATTTGATCTCACATCAACCCTCTCTCTTAAAAAAAAAAACAAGCACGAAAAGAAAAAAGGAAAAATCATATTCATTTTGAGTAGGTCCTTTTCAAACCACATAATATGTTGTGGTTGATGTGAACTATTCGATTGGTATATATTATTATAATTTAGGCATCTGAATTAAAAGGGTATTATTTTAATTTCAATCTCCAAAATTATCTTGCCATAATAAGAGAGATAATTATATAAATAATTGTTTATTAATATTTTTGGTCAAAATCTCCATCAAATCTTTAAACTTATGTTAAGATGAGCATAATATATAAAAAATTGATTAACATTTGTATTTTTTTTTTATCTTGAAATAAAATTTAAAACCTCAGAAATCCTTTTAAATAAAATTAATAATTGCATAAACTACTAATTAATGATTTATTATATATTAGTTACAGCTACTTATAATTTAATTAAAAAACAGAATTGATCAGATTTTATTAAGATCCAATAAAATAAATTAGATAAGTAACTAAATAATTAAATTATTCTTAATAATTAATATTTGCTAATTTAAAATTTATTTAGTTTGTATAAATAACGTTTCTTATTTTATTAGTTCATTAAATTATTAATTAATTATTAATTAAATATTTATTGAAACTGATTATAATTAAATTTGATATAAGCAAAGCAAATATATATAAATTCTTAAATATTGAAATAAGTAGCCAACAAATATTTAGATTTGATTGGATTTATCAATTACAATACCAAATATTTGACCCACACAGAATTTAATAAATCTGTATATAAATATACATTTACTTAATCCTATTTGAGTAATGTTATTTACACCCATAAAGTGCATTCTCAGCATAAATTATTAATTACATATATAAATATTAAATATATAAAAATTAGGTATTAATATAACCACATATTTTTTTTTATTATATTAGTTTTATACATACAAATATTTAATATCTTAATTAAATATATGCATGAAATATTATATTTATTTTAAATAAATTTATTATTTATAAGTATTTAGATATAATCATATATATATTTTTTTCATTTATATATCTAATATTTAAATTTTAGTACTTAATTATATATATTTTAAATATCTTAATTAAATATATGCAACAAATATTTTATTTTATTTTAAATAAATTTATATTGGAATTATTTTTAATATGATTTAAAAATGAACTTATTACATAATTAAATACAAAGATTACATGAGAATTGTATCGTATAATCCCAAAGAAACCAAAGATTATAGATGGCCGCGATTCACTCAAAAAATCCTGCTCGCCACCGGTAGAAATCGTTCGATTTTCCCCGGCAGATTGCAGCGGCGGCGACGATGCAGTTCTTCGGCGGATCAGCGGCGGCAGAGATGACCCCGTCTCCGGCGGCACCGCCTGGCACAGCAACGGGCCTCGCGGGGAACAACGCCAACATGCTTTACATCTTCAACCGGAATGGGGTCTGCTTGCTCTACCGGGAATGGCATCGACCTCTCCACACCCTCGACGCCCAGGAAGATCAGAAGCTCATGTTCGGTCTCCTCTTCTCTCTCCGATCTTTCACTGCAAAGATGGATCCTACTAGGTACGCTGGCTAAGCCTTTCTCCCTTTACTTTGCTTTGATCCCTGGATAATTATTCCCTTTGCGCAGCGTTGACAAAGGTAATCTTGGGGTTCCGCTTTTGCCGGGGCAAGGGTGTTCTTTCTACAGCTTTAGAACGAATACTTACAAGCTGAGTTTCATGGAGAGCCCATCTGGCATAAAGGTCTGTGATCAAACTACGTTTCAGGAATGCATGTTTTCAGCTTGCAGATTTTTATCTGGTTCTTTGCTAATGGAAGTGCGTCTATCTTAGGATTTTTGTTTAAATTAGTCTGGTAGATTGTTAAAGAGAGATCCAGATCAGATCTTATGGCTATCTTCCATGAAAGTGCATGGCAATTGATTATAATGCTAATATCTAGTCCTAATTAGTGAGCCAGTTTTCATTCAAACTGGATGAGAACATGTTAGGTTACTGTAATGAGTTTATGTGTTAATAAATGTAATAGGTAGCTTAATTGTCGTTGTGTTATTTTGTTTATAGATAGTTATGAGTGCCAAGTACTTAGCAGTTTAAATGAGTCTTTGAATGTTTATATTGTAGTATTCTACTAGCTCTCTTGGAGGGTAGTATCATGGTTTAAAATTGCGCAATATGAGGCTCGCCTTGAGGCCCGCCTTTGCGCAATTCCAGTAAAAAATGCCTCGATGCTTACGCCTTGAGTTTTTTTTATGAGGCTTGCTCCTCAACTTGGTTGAGGCCCGCCTCACCTCACTGGCATGAGGCTTACGCCTCACGCTATATATATTAAAACTTACATAAATCTTGAAGTAAAAGCCCGACACTGAACTCTATAGGAGAGGAGGAAGGGGAGAGAGCAGTTCATCATAATGATGATTCAAATGAAGAACCCCTTAGTGATGACAGTGTTGATGATTTATGAGTTCTTATGTGATATGTCATTGCTATTTGTTTCTGGAAATTGGAATTATATGTTAATGAAAAGAATAATGGGATTTGAGAAAGATAGAATTTTGAGTTGAACTATATTTCATGTTATCTTATTAGTGGGATATTTTGATTTCACTTCATATTTTATGCTTTTTTATATTTTATATTATTCACTCATTAGTATATAAAAAATTTATCATTTTATGTTTACGCAATCTTTTGATTTTGAAGCGAGCGCCTCAAAATGCCTAAAGGCTTATGCCTCGCCTCACGAAGGAAAACGCCTCAATACCCGAATACGCTATTTTAAACATTGGGTAGTATGACATCAATGAGATTAACCAAAACCCTCATTGTTGAGAATCTCTTCTCCCCCCTTTCTCAACCATTCATTTTCATGGAGTTTTTGACGGACTCTAACTCTTTGTTTATACTCGATCCTTAGTGTCCTAACAATTGGTGCTTTTGGTGAGCCTCTCATTTGCTAGTGCTCTATCTCCATCTCAGATACACTATCATACTAATTTACCAGTTGTATCAATCCAAAATCAGCCCCAACACCAATCTACGCACACCCCAAAACCCTTGCGCCTCTTACATTTTCATAAAAAATCTACTTCCTACTCTTGCTAGAGGCACCCATTTCCAATTTTCCCCTTCCATATTCATTGATCTCTGCCTCTAAATTTCCAATCGTTGTCTCTATTCCTCATTCAGAATTTCCAATGCTATTCCCATCAATTTGTCATCATTGATTATGCGTCTACTGCTAATCTTACCTCCCTAGACCCTTGACACGACATCAATTACGTGTCTTTCTTAGATTTGGCAGATCTTGCATATCACCATTGATTTCATCTTTCTCCTTTTTGCTAAATCTGTCATGAGATCCACCGACGTGAAATCCTCCAGCATGATACAACTTCGTCCTTCATTGCCATCTCCATTGCCTGAATCACCAGATCTCGCTAAATTTGCTAGATCCAGTGTTGCATCTTGCTCGATTTCCAATGAGATCTACCTCTTCCAATTCAGAACTATCCATATTCGCAAGTATCACTTTGTCAACTTTGCATTTGCTCTTTCTGGAAGGAGAAGAATGGCCGTCAACTGTTAATTTTTTTCCTTCACCTAAGGGCCTAAGGATTTTTCTTTCTAATAGTTAACAAACATGAAAATGTTCTTCTTTCAATCTTTCTATACTTTAACCGAAGTTAAATTTTCACTCTAGGATGTAGCAAACATTTTGAAAAGCTACAAATGCATTGTTTGATGGACTTAGGCTTCATTTGAGACAACTTTCTTATTACTCTCTAAAGCAACTTTTTAGTACAAAAATTTTTTAAACTATAAATTTTTGTACTAGAAAGCTGTTTTAAAAAGTAGCAAGAAAGTTATCCCAAATGAAGCCTTAATTGAAGATAACTTTGCATGCACCCTTTCTAAAAAGGAGAAGAATGGCTTTCACCTATTATTTTTTTCTTCATCATATTAGATTTTGCTCTAGGTTATGATTTTGTAATTGCTAGTATCTTATTTAAAAAAAGAGAGGCGCATTTCATCACTTATAAGAATAATTTAGATTGATGTTTTCTTATAAAAAAAAGATCGTTTAGACAAGATTGTAAAGTTATTCCAAGTGATAGTTTATGTACCCAACATTATTTATTAGTTTGCACTTTAAAATGAATTGATGAAATATGAAAAATAAAGTAAAATATTTTAGTAGAATTAAATGAGAGCATTTAAAAAACACTAGCAATTTGAGAGTAAGATTAGAGATCTTAAAATTTAGCCTATGCATAAGGAAGTTAATGTTATATGAGAAAAAATAGCTAATGATATTAAGAATATTGTAAAGGATGTGCTAGGAGTAGAAAAAAGAAAAGCTCCTAATAGTAAAAATAGTTGGTGATGGAATCAAAATGTTTAAGAAAATATAAAAATAAGAAATTTTATTATAAAAAATAGTTTAGATATAAAAATTTAGAAAATTGGAAAAGATATAAAGAGTCTAAGAAAGTAATATGCGATGTAAAGAATTTAGTTATTAATAATTTATATAATAGATTAGATATTAGGAAGGGTAAAATATATATGTATAAGTTAGTTAAGCAGAGGGATAGAAGTAAGGATTTAGTTCAAGTACAATGTATTAAAGATGAAGATAAAAAAATATTTTTATTAGAAGATGATATTCAACAAAGGTGGATGAATTATTTTGATAAGCTTTTCAATGAAAATTGTGAGAATATGATTGAATTTTATGACTTTAGCATCCTAAATGAAAATAGAGATTTTTGTTTTTGTCGGTGTATTAATAAAACCAAAGTTGGAGAGGCTTTAAAGAAAATGAAGTGTGGAATGCTCTTTGACCTGATGATATTTCAATAGAGGTGTGGAAATGCTTAAGAGATGAAGATATTTTCTACTTACGAAACTTTTCAGTATTATTTTTAAGACTAAAAAGATGTCAGATGAGTGGACAAGGAGTGTATTGATTCTTATTTTTGAGAATAAAGGTGATTTATAAAAGTGTACAAATTATAGATGAATTAAATTAATGTGTCATACTTTAAAACTATGAGAGAGAGTTATTGAGCATAGGTTATGATGTGATACTAATGTTTCTCAAAATTAATTTGGATTCATGTGGGGCATGTCTACTATGGAAGCTATACATTTATTAAGAGGTTTGATGGAGAAGTATAGAGAGAATAAGGAGCCTCTACATATGATATATGTTGATTTAAAGAAATCTTATGATAAAATTCCAAGAGAAGTGTTCTAGAGCTGGGCATGTCTACTATGGAAGCTATACGTTTATTAAGAGATTTGATTGTGAAGTATAGAAAGAATAAGGAGGATCTACATATGATATATGTTGATTTAAAGAAATCTTATGATAAAGTTCCAAGAGAAGTGCACCAGAGAGTTCTATAAAAGAATGAGATTAATAATATTTATATTCAAGTCATTAAGGATATGTAAAGAACGAGATGTTACTTGTGTAAAGAAGGCAAGGTGGTTTGACCAAAAATTTTCCTATTTTTGTTGGATTACATCAATGATCAGCTTTAAGCCCTTTTTTTTTCTTTAGTCATAGATATTCTTACTAGACATTTGCAAAAGGATGTACCCTGGTGTATGCTTTTTGCTAATCATATTCTTCTTGTTGATAAGATTGGAGAGGGAATTGAAAGTAATTGTATTCAAGTTGGATGGTTGAAGTGGAGGAAAGCATTGGGCCTATTGTGTGATAAAAAAGAACCCCCCAAATTTAAGGAAAAATTCTATAAGATGGTGGTGAGAGTGTGAAACCTACAATGCTTTATGGTGCAAAATGTTTGAGATTAAAAGAGAAGCATAAGATTTAGTTAAGTGTTGCAGAGATGATGCTCAGGTGAATTAGTGACTTCATAGCGACAGAATGTGAAATAAATATATACATGAAAAAGTTGGAGTAGCTCTTGTGGCAGATAAGATTAAAGAGTTGCCTTAGATGGTTTGGTTATATAAAACATCAGTCTTCAGATGACCCGGTTAGGAGAGTATATGTATTAGATTTGACCTTTCTTAAAGAAGATAGAGGTAGACGTTTAAAGATTTGGTTAGAAAATATTAAAAATGATATTTTTTATTAGATTTAAATGAAAATTTGAGTCTTAATAGGACACAATGAAAAAAAATGATTTATGTAGCCAACACACATAGTGGGATACAGGCTTGAATGTTGTTGTTGTTGTAGGCCTTTTCTTTTTAATAGTTAACAAACATGAAATTATTGTTTTTCACGCTTTCTATACTTTAACCAAAGTTAAATTTTTACTCTAGGAAGTAGCAAACATCCTGAAAAGCTACAAATGCTTTCTTTGATAAACTTAATTATAACAGTTTTTTTAGTAAATCTGTCAATACAAACTTGTTTTCCTAGATTTAATTAATTGCACGATCATTTAATTACCTTTGCTTTGATGCAGCGTATCCTTGGTACACATCCAAAGGCTTAATTATAACAATTTTCTTTTAAAATTTGAGAATACAAACTTATTTTCCCTGGATTATAGTGCATTTTTTTACGTTTTATTGCATGATCCTTTTATTACCTTTGCTTTGATGCAGCTGATCCTTGTTACACATCCAAAGACTGGGGATCTTCGTGATGCATTGCGGTATATGTACAACTTATATGTGGAGTACGTTGTCAAGAATCCGCTTTATGTTCCTGGATCTCCAATAAAGTATGCTAATCGTTTCATTCTTTATGCCATCCGCTAAGTATAATAGAAAAGCGCACACATTTATTTGAGTTATTGGCCTTATCACCTTAAGATATCTGTAGCTGTATCAGTACAATGTTTGCAAAGCTTGTCTTCTTTTGTCAGTTCATGCGTTTCATTTATATATATGCTTCACAGAATGCACAAGAAAATAGATGCGGAGAAATAGTCTCAATTGTCATGGAAAGTAACTTTGATTGGGTGTTATATTTATTTCTGACCAAAAGAGCCCTTTTGTAACTTATTACGCTCCTAAATGTAGTATTTGGTCTATTTATTCTGGCAAGTGCCTTTGCAAACCATTCGGATGATAGTTATTGCGCATAACTGCTTTAAAATAGTATGTTATTACTGATATGTTGTGTAGAGTGTCGGACTAGGTCAATTTTTCTTTTTCCCCCCTTGTGACAAGGAATTCATGGGTTGAATCACAAAAAAAAACCTTGATGTCATCTAGGGGCGAAGTTGCTTTTAACATCTTACTAGGTCTAACATTGGTGGGAACTTCATACTCTCGGTATACCCTTTTTTTGAGTTAATATCTTATATTAGTATTCTAGGCCAAAGGACGAATCATCCTTGAAAGTAGTATAAAAAAATAACAAAGAAGAGCTCATTTTGACGTCTTGCTTGAAGTCCATTGAAAACAAGAGAATGTCAATATATTTTTCTCTGTTTGAGACCCCTTCTGGTAAATAGGATCTGAAATCTCCTATCCACCAAAACATTGTCACCCATAATACTCTAATTAGAATAATTTTTTGCTGATTCTTTCATACAAGGTTATATTTGAGAATTTATATAGATACATTGTGGTCATATTTGTTAGAAAATAACATTGTTAATAGTGGTAGACACTTTCAAGGAGATATGACATTTCAACACCCAAGGCAAGCGACATTGCTCTAGGTGGTCACCCAAATTAAGTAAGGTACTTATAAAATATTATTATTTTATTGATAAATTTATTCCAAATTAGGGATGGAATCAGGAAGAGCTTAGGGTGGGCAATTGCCCACCTTGAAATTTTTTTTTTTTTTTTTTTAAGAATAAACATTTTAACTATTTTGTCCAACTTCAATAATTGGGATTGCTCAAATTTTAAGGAAAAATTTATTTTCCTATTTCATACATAAAATTGTGTATTTCACAATTCTATTTTAATCACCCTCAAATGAGAGGCTGGTTTCGCCCCTATTCCAAATGATATTTAAGTAAATTAATTTTATGAATTAGATTTATAGGAGTAGAGAATAGGTATAGATATGTTAAAGAATGAAAATTTATTTTGTCATTGTAAATTTAAAAATTATTTATTTATAAAATCATAATGAGGTTATGAATATTGCATTTAATTTTTTATATATAATTTTTTAAATTCAATAATATATGAGATTTTATTAAAAAATTAATTTATGTTAATTAAAATCGAGTTAGAAAATTTACGAGTTATTTATCATTTAAAATTTTGATGATAAGGTCTTTTATATAGGTGATAAATCTATTAAAATTTGGATTAAGGAGTAAGAGGGAGAAATATTAAAACATTTGGAATTTGAGGTGCGTACTTATGTTTTTATTTTATAATAATATTGTTTCTTTTTCTAAATTAATTTTATTGAATCAATTGTTACTTGTTAACTTAGTCGTTGTTAAAAAAATTATACATGATTTATCTTTTTCAATGAATGGTCATATTGAAAATATTGATAGTTAACATGATATTTTATCACGTGTATTATAGAAAATTATTGAATGATATATCAATGAAATGACTAAATAGAAATGTTTGCATGTGCATGTTTATTGATGGAGTACACCCCCTTATAGTACTAACTGGGGATACAATGTACCCGCACGCATGAAATGTATATGTTTTTGAAAAAGATTATGAAAAAAGAAAATGAAAATGTAAGTACCTTAATTGGTACTATTTATATGGTGTCTCTTGTGATGGTTGTGTTACTTATAGAAAATATTAAGACAAGATATGAGTGTTATATATGTGCATAAGCTATGATTGATGGTCATTTTTAAATTTAAATATGATTAAATAAATTTATTTGATATTTTATAGCAATCGTGTATATTGTTTAAAATGCTTTGCATTCCTGTAGTTTAGAAGCATGATGTATTCACTGAATTGAGTTATAACTCATCCCAATATTTGCAAACATATACATGAATCGTTCAAAAAATTTAAATGATTGGAAGAGAAGAGAACGTGTATCATAGACACAATACTTCGAGAGAAAGTATTTGTAGTATTTTAAAAATACATTTTGAGATTTTAGCAGCTCTTTCAGTATATTGGAAATAACTTTTTATTATTAAAAAAATTAGTGAGCAAAATTTTAATTAATCATTCAATTTTTATTACCGTTTCGTTAATTCGAGCTGTTGTACCAGATCGTGGCAATTATAATCCCAATTGTATCAAATTTGAATCAAATCAATAGCACAAACAAGCGAATATCAAATCATGTAGAAAAAAATAGGTTAAGGAAGAAGTTATTAATGTAAAAAAAAGTAAGATTCATGTTAGTACATAGAGATAACTTCCCTTAAATTTATCTAGTATCACATTCGAAGGAATTACATGTCTAACTTACACTCTCTTAGGCCTCCTTCTGATTACGACACTATAAGGAATGTATTTAACAATAGCAACCTCGAAAGCACATATAATCTCAAATTAGTCATCATCTATGGTCTCTTCTTTATCATTGAACTTGTAACCCTTGCATATCTTTATCAATTTTCTTGTAATTATCTTTTTCATCTTCAAGATTAAGTATTTTAGAATTTGAGGTTCTTACCTGTATATTAGATCAATTTGTTTCCAAGGGCGTATATGATTGTTTCTACATCTCTTGATGATCTTTCATACCATCCCATTTCAGGTTACCAACATGACAACTTAACTTCAACATTTAAGTATCAACACCCACTGCAGGGTGAGGTGCTCCATTCATTGCTTGATGTCTTAATTTTCAATGCTCGCCTACTTATTTCTTAGTAATAGCATCCCTTAGAAGTTGTGGCACATCATGTGGATCAAGATAATCATGCTAGAAGCCCAACCATAAGTGCCAAGGCTAAAGTTCAAGATAAAGATAAGAAAAGACTCAGCTATAAGAGCCAAAATAAGAGCTTGTAATTTATAGTATTTTGAATGTAAGTTATGTTTTATTATTTTTGCATTTTTAATTTCCACATAGGGACTTGTATTGCTAGTCATAACGTGATTTGGAATGAAAAAGTATTAAAATACGTATTTGAAACTCATTAACGCCATCAACTCGTCTTTTCTTACCTTTTTTTCCTTCATTGTTTTCCTCAAAAAGTAGTTGCCTAGTAGTCTTGTAATATCAATAAAGATGAGCTAATATGTATTAAAAATCCGGAGCTTGAAATGAAATATTTTGGTGGAGAAGTATTTTTCATTTGCTTGGTGCTTTGTGGTTTCAAGAATGTCTGGTTCTTTGGTGAGAATATATAGTTATATTTATTTCTCTTAAATTAGTTTACTCCTCTTTAACACCTACTTAAACTTTTCATACATTTTCCTCTATTTTATAAGCATCATCCAAGACCAATAAACAAGAAACTAAAAGCTCATAAACACTCGAAGAACTTTCAACTAGGACCTAATCCTATTTCCTGAACCTACACCCCCTTAAATTTTGTTAAACTGTCTATCTACTCCAAATTATAAGCTTATGAACCTACTGATGCAGGACTAAAATGTTTTACTTGCATGCGATAAGAATTTGCACGACCTCTTGAATAAAACAATTAAGATATGAACTTTTAGCAATCCAAAACGACAAAAGAAAATAAGAGAGGGGTGCCTACGTTTAGGCTAAGCTACTTGCCAAACGCTTGAATTATCAAATAAATTATAATCCCAATAGCAAGCAAATGTAATAGCTTTCAACAAAATCCCTAGTCTAACAATAATATAGTAACATAGAAGGTGCACTCAATACGTTTACTAAGCTTAAGCAGAAGGTAAAACACGACTCTTTGTGATTAGCACCACTTACAAGATCAGGGGATCAGGAAAATAAATGAAAAGGGGAAGAAGTTCACCCTTGGGTAGGTTCGGAGACGATTTGCCACTGGGCGCCAGCAAGTTGCTCGTCGATGGCTTCTGATAGCGTGAAAATAATACAGGCTACGTACTCTTTGATGGAACGATCAACTTTCGGATCCGAAGGTAGAGTGGAGGATATTAACGTATCCTTGCTCGTCGTAAGCAAATCTGTAGTCAAGCTTCGGATCGGCCATTCATTGGCTTTAGAAGGAGGGTGCGTAGTCAAAGGCCAATGTTAATCCTTCGAAGCTCCCCTAGAGAGAAAGAAGTCTCTCTCAAATTTGAAGTGGAGAGGGAAAGAGTGGCCGGCCAAGTAAGGAGGGAAGGGGAATTAAAATTGGTTCAGATTTTGGTGGAGGGAAAAGTGTTTCAAACAATCCTCTAACTACTCTCTATGGTTGGGAATAATTAAAGAGGACAGAGGGGGTAGGGGCGGCTGCAAAAAAGAGGGGTAAGGGATTTGCTTCCAAAATTTAATATGAGATTTTCGAAAGAAATAAGGAGGTGTGGGGTTTTGGAAATTTCGGCCAAGGGGCATGAGAGGTTTGAATTAATTCAAAAAAGGGGAATGGGTTTTAGGAAATAATTCCCAAGAAAATAAGGAAGGGGGGCCGACAGCTTAATGGGCCAGGGGAAGAGGTTTAAGGAAGCTTTTAATGCTTCCTTAAATTAGGGAATTATATTTAGGAGGAAAACTAATTTAACTTAAATTAAATAGGCAAGGATTTGAAAGCTTTCCTAAAATAGGAATGATATTTTATGTAACTTTTTAAATTCAAATAAATTTGCATTTTGCAAAGTTATGGAGTTACCTAAATTATCCAACCCAATTAGGAGAGGAGTAATTGTAAGCAATGAAGGAAGGGAAACCAAGTGGGGAGCCGGGGGCTTATGTGGTGACCGTGGATGGTGGTGGGGCAAGGGAGGAGGTGTCGGATGGGAGGGGTTGGGAAACTTACCCGACTGTGAGATTGGGACCAATGTGGCCGACGGCTTGGGGGTGGGGAGAGGGGAGGTAGGTCGGTGGAGTAGGGTGGGGTAAAGAAAAAAATGAAATAATAGAATGAACCACGATCCCGGCCGTCTCCAAGGTTGGTGGGTGATACGAACTCCCTCTCCTAGGGATCTCTCTTCAAACACGCTCAAGATCTCACATAGAACTCAAGTAGTGGGAAAATTCTTATCATTCAATTATTAACCTTAGAAGAGAAACATAAGGGCTATAAATAGCCTCGTACAAAATGACTCAAAATAAAAAGACGACAATGCCCTTAGGGCTTACATACGATCTTTCTTAAGTAAGGGGTAAAAACATGAAAACAAATACAACATAAATAACAAGAGACAAATAACATAATAAAAGACAAATACAAGAAATAACTCAAAAATACATCGACTCGATCGTGGCCATAGATCAACGGCTTCACCTCTGATATACTTTCCATGCTCTAATGTTCCCATCACCTACATCCCCTTAAATTTTGTTAAACTTTCTATCTACAACAAATTATAAGCTTACTGATGTGAAACGTACATGCGATGGAGGAGTTACTTTAAGAAATTAAAGAGATCAATTGTAACTTAATAACCCAAAATCAAATTATCATTTATAATAAAAGAGTGATCCTTAGGACTCTTAGTTTTGATTCGTTTAGGCAACGAAGAGTGGCATCGATTAACCAAACAATTTAAGAAAACACCAAGAATAATTGTATGCTACGACGGTAAACAAGAATCCATGATTTAATAAAGAGAACTTTCACCTTTGGAGCTCTTACGCTCAACTAATCTAGGCTTTAGCGGAAGAAAAATCTCCACATTAGAATCGAGGTCACTCCGAGGAAGGAGCCTAAGATCGTCGTTCTAGGAAAGGTGGCCGGAGAGGTGGAGGATGGCGGTCGTCCCAGGATGATCCAACTGGCTGGACAGCAGGAAGAGATGCAAAATTTCTCTGGACAGCAGCAGTTTGGTCTTGGACAGATCTTGGACAGCAACCTTTCAAGTGCAAGAAACGTTGGAATGTTCTTCTAGGCTGCTGGGAACTTGGGACAGCAAAGTGTGGTCTTCCAGAGTGCTGGACAGCAAGATATTTTTGTTGGAATAAGGGGACAGCAAGCAGAACTTCAGGGCAGCAGCAGATTTGAGCGTGTGGAAGGCTCTGGACAGCAGGTCCACAAGCTTCCAATCCTGGACAGCAACCCAATTCAGGGGAAAACCAATTCTGGCTGATCCGTTGAAGGGAAGGAGGTGGTCACGGGTTGGGGAAAGGGGCTTGGGTGGGAGAAATCCAGCCAACGACCAGGAGGAGCTCGGGTAGGAGAAACAAGCCTCAGACCAAGGCAATTTCAGATTTCTGAAATTGAATTAGGGAGGAAACGTGGAGAGGGGAATTTGCTTTGAAAATTCAAAAACAATTTCCAAAGGAAGGGGGGCAGCAGTTATGTGAGGGATTAAGGGAATTAATGGGAAGTAATAGTTGTAATTGGAGAGAGAAAAGTGGATGAGGAGGTGGCCGGCCCTAAGGAGAGCTGAGAGAGCAATTAGATTTAATTATGTGGGCCCTCTAGAGAAACTCACGGAATAATAAAAATCTGAGAATTGATTCTCAGTTTTGCTCTACAGGAGAAGTTTCCTAAATGGATGGGTGCCTCTAGTAACGTGGGATTTTACCGTTACAATAAGAGAAGTAATCCACATGATATCTTTCCTAATTGGTGGGGATGTATAATAGGAAAGAAACAATGGCTGTGAGATTGAATTTCAAATTCTGAAAACAGAGAGCGGGTTGGGCTGCTGGCTGGCTGGCAGGAATCTGGCCGGTGGGTGGCCGGATGCTGGCCGGTGGCAGCTGCGTTTCTGACCGGCGAGAATGGGGGTTTAAGGTGGCCGGCGGCTTTGAGCTGCGTGGAGTAGTTGGCGGCAAGGGGCAGGGAGAAGAAGGGATGGAATTTTCTAGTGATTTGATGACTACGAATTTACTAACCTCAAGTGTCGTCACTTTGAATTTCCACAAGATTAGATAGCACGAAAACTAGAACTCACAAAGAGATCTAGTCTTCTCCGGCGAACTCACTAAGAGATCTTGGAGGGGGGAACTCACAAAGAGAACAAGTAGTAAAATTTCATTTTTTCCAAAAACTAAACTATTACAAGAGAAGGGCCATATAAATAGGCCTCACAATGACAAAGAAAACAAAAGACTAAAATGCCCCTTGGGCTACAATAGCGACCAAATACCCATAAGGGCAAAAACGGAAAAACATAAAATAAAAATAAACTACTACATAAAATAATGAAAATACAACTCATGCTCGTAACCATCGATCTCCGACGTCGAAAATGCTGACGATGTCCTCATCACTTACATCCTACACTAATCATTCATCATAATATTTAACCATTTACCCCACTTAAAATTCATTCTTTGAAGTAATCTTTCAAATTAAGCCCAAATTGAACCAATCTTGCGGTTCCTTGCATCATACCCCTCTAATCCCCACACATTTCTATTATGAACTCTATATCACATTAAATTAAAGACCCATTGTCATTTTTTTTCATTAATCTCACCAAAAAGACCACTTGCACCATCATTTATGATCTTAACTCTATACCTACTTCTGTAACTTTAATGATAGAAATCATAAGATTTGGAATCATAAAAAAGGAATTTTCTGACATGTCCTCACACTTGTTACATGTGAAAGAAATAATACGCGATCCTCATTATATTCACATACATGTTGTGGACTCGTTCCTTTCTAAGTTTAGTGATGTTACACATGATAGGTTACTTGGTGCATTGCTCTTCAGTCCATTAAACATGTCATTAACGTAGTCCCATGTTCCTAGCTTCTA